ACACAGAGTTGGACATCAACTACATGAATGTCACCGGCTCCATCCTATCGAGCTTCAGACCCTTGGATATTTGGCATTAGGATATTTGGGCGCGGTTATGCTTTATATAGGGGTTTGGGGTTGAGGTTATTTTTCGAATCTTTTGTTTCGACGCTCAGTACTTGGAGTTGTGTGTGTGTGTGTGTGTGATGTGTTCGTGCTTGTCGTCCGGATCGGCTTTGCCCCAGGCTTCAGTTCATGTCTTGCGTCACCCTACCAACTGCACCGGCACAACACAATAGAAAGTCAGATAGCCGTAACCCTCAGTCCTTATTGCAGGTCCTGCAATTTGTCGGAAACAGTCAGAAGGGAACGCTCCGATGTTATGTTGTGTGTGACTCGTTTATCTCAGGCTGTAATGTGCTGGAGTCGGAGTGGCTATGGTGCCGTAGTGCTCGAACACTCGCCCAGCTACGCCTAGTTGTGACTGCTGAGAGTAGCTGCCCTCAAGCCTTTTGTGAAGCCGTAGCCCCAAAAGCCTTCAGCTGCAGTATCTGTTTAAAGGAATTTACACCTCAAAATCCTACTGTAGTGTGTATCTCGAAGAATACGCAGCAACGTCCCCTGATAGTCCCGAAATATATGCATGGCACAAGACTTTTCTTTCCTGCACGTTTGAACCTTTCCGAACAGCTCTTAAGCCCCGAAAACACTACATAATGCTTAAACCTCAAACTACCTTAAACCCTGAACCCTGAAACACCAAGCCTTAAGTCCATAAGCCTCTGTCCCTAAACCCCAAACCTTGAAGTTTATGCCGTTTATGCATGTTTCCAGCTCTCAGGCCAAGCCGGCCTCGTGTTAGGCGTGGTGATGACCTTTGCTTTTGCAGCGAACACCATGATCTCCTGCCGAGGGCTCGGATGAGTTTTCGCAGGGCTTAAGCGGATTTTACATGGGTTCAGGTGGATGAAAACCCCTAAACCCTACACCCCTAAACCCTAAACGCCCTAAACCGATGTAAAATCGACGGTTCTAGAGCTTCGTTGTGTCGTGAGGTTGGCAAGGGGAAGTGCAACCGCGGCGCGCACAGGAGAACCTTGTGACGTGCTTTAAGACTTCGAGGTCGTAACAAAAGTCAAAAACATGAGCCCCACCGCCATAGCCAGCATGCTGCCAGCATGCCAACAGATGCGAAGTGCAAGATAGCGGACTGTAATTGCAACAGCATCAGACTGTAGTAGAACCGGTGTATGTGCAGCAACGAGCAACAGCTCTTAATATGTCTTCGTTGAAATGCTAACAGGTTCAGCAACACCAGCAAAGAATTCGAGGGAAGCTTGAGTACCTTCGAAAGCTTCATCTTTGACAATCAGTGCGGCTGAGGTCTGGCGACTGCCCAGGCTTTTGCAAAGTATGTCACCCAACACGACATCGGCAAGATCTCGCAGCTGCCCTTCCCCCAGCCAGGGCCTCGGAAATGGGGTGTCGGAAGTACTAGAGGGGCCTTAATAATCACCTATACTTTTATGCGGTTCCTTACTACAGTGTTAGGCTGATATAACTGATATAACCCAAAGCTCTGTTCTAACTATTAAGACCCCTTTTTTTTACCGTTACGGTTTAGGCTTCTCAGCCAGGTATGCAGCTGAAGGGCCTTGTGCCTTGGTAGCTCCGTCGCCGGCAGGCGAAGTTTATGAAGCTACGATGGAATCCGCTTGATGTTGGTTTCCAGACCGAGGAAGCAGGAGTCGTGACGAGGTTCTCCGTGGCTACTCTTGAAATCGACCGGGCATGACTCACGGATCTGCAGGATTTGCTTCCTTTCTCACGGCCAAGTCGTCGTTACAGGCGTCGATGTGGTAGTACGAGTAGCTGTTGTTGGGATGCTTGAATGGTTTTGGAGGATATCTGCTAGCCGTACGAAGGGTGTCCACAGTAGACCCAAGCACCGGCCCCTAGACCTGGATTCTGAACCTGGAGCTCCTGATTCAGTTTTCTCTTGATCCCAAACCCTTAAAGAACATGCACCACTTGTGATTTGCAGCTTTCCACCTGTGCTCTTGTGTGTGTGTGTGTGTGCGCGCCGAGGTCGCATGTTCGACCCTTGAAGAAGCTTGCATCCTTCGGGACAATCACGTCCATGAGGACATTGGGCGCATCTGCAGATGTCATATCTCGGCTGCCGGACTTAGCCGTCGAGTCGCTTTGCCTATTCGTGTACAACCTTATCACCTGTCTAGTAATGCAAGTTCTTTTCTTGCGTCAAAGAGCTCGCAAACCTCCTACGACAATCCCGATTCTGGAGGTTTGACTCGCATGTTGGCTTCGCACGATCTTCCTCTGAATGTCCTCAAACATGCCGCCGGAGGATGTAGGGTCGGTGATGAGGCGCTTTTAAGACTCAGCACAGACTTAGGACAATAAGTCTTTAGTATTAGTAGCACAGTCGACACTATCATGCTTGCTACGACTGTGTTGCCTATTCGTAAAACGATTGCTATCATCAAGCATTCGGCTGTACGATTGGCCGGACTCCAGTTGCTTTTCGTCACATCTTTGCGTGGCTTCGACCCAACTGAAGCTTCGACACCTTTTTCGGTGACCCGGGCGGTTGTCGAAATTAGGGTCCCCTTCTGGATCCTGAATCTGAGACGGCACCGGGACCCTAATTTTGACAACCACCCACCCGTGTATGGGCGACTCATGACGATGCCCTTTCCTTACCTTTGGTTAGTAGGGAATGGAGGAATGGGATACAAGTATAACTACTATTACGACCATTGTTACATTCCATTCCCTACTAACCAAAGGTAAGCCCTAAACCCCTAAACCCTAAACCCTATAGATCCCTTTAAAGGAACCCTATAGATCCTTTTCAAGGAGCCCTATTCCCTACTAACCAAAGGTAAGTTGCGATTCCTTCATGTTCGGGTCTCCTCATTCCGGCTTTGAATTAGCCGTGGCTTGTCTAGCCGCACTTTGCGATGCACGGCACCCTAAACCCTAGCCCCTTAACCCTAAAACCCTAAACCCCAAAACCTACGAAGGTTTCGTTTTGGGATCTTCGGTCCCCCCCCCTAGGGATTAGAGTCATCTGCTTGGGGTGTCCGAAAATTCGGGGTACCTTATTTTGGGGTCCTTATAATGAGGATCCTACTATTTAGGGTGCTATATTAGGGTCCCCTATTTTCGGAAGCTCCCATCTACTTGGGGTAAAAACCGTTTAGCGGCCTTCCACCTTCAACCGACCTCCCAAACAACAGCCCAGAGATCCCAATACCCCTGAAGGAATATACCTTAAATTAATATAGAGGCCCTAATACTATGATTTAAGGTGTATTCCTTAATTAAGGAATATACCTGAAATTATAGGGGCCCTCATATTAGGATTTAAGGTATATTCCCTAATTAAAGGGTATGGGATCTCTGGGAGAAGACAGAGGAGGCGCCCTGGGCGGAAAGGAAGCCTCAGCACCTTGAGCCCTGAACCCGACGTCTTCTTCCCAGAGACTCCAATATCCCTTAATTAAGGAATACCTTAACCCTGAAGAACCTACTTTTTTAAGGACTTATATAAGGAAATCATAATAAGGAACCCTAAAAAGGTAGGTTCTTCAGGGTTAAGGTATACCTCAAATTATAGTAGGATCCGTAATAGGATTTAAGGTATATTCCCTAATTAAGGGGTATTGGAGTCTCTAGGTTGCCACCAAGGCAAAAGAGGATGTACTGTTGATGATCTAGATCCTGCACTACCTCAAGGACCCAAACAATGGAATTATGGTATATTCCTTATTATGGGTAAGGCAGGATTTATATCATCAACCGTAGTATATGGTAATATGTATAATATGTGTATATATGTGTATATATATATACATATATATATATATATGCACATACAGAAATAGGGAATACCCTCATAACATAGTACTAGATCAGAATATAGTGCTATCTCCTCATCTCTAAAAACAGTATATTCTTAAATGCGCAAGAGGATGACCATTTCTCCCATCATCAACTCGCTGGCCTGCCCCATGATTGGCGGCTTTTTCCTCGGGGTGAAAGGTGGGGGCTTAGGCGTATTAAGCGGTGGTTGGGGAGTTTGGAGTTTAGGGGCGTTAGCGCTTAGGACTTTTGGAATTTAAGGGTATTAGGTGGGGGGGCGGTGGTGGGGATTTTGGAGTTACGGGAGTTTAGGGCCGTTAGGGTTTAGAACTATTGGAGTTTTGGGTTTAGGGCTTCGGGCTCAGGGACTTCGCGGAGTTTAGGGCTTTGGGTTCAGGGACTTCGCGGAGTTTGGGGCTTTGGGGGGGTTTGGTAGGGCTGAAGGTTTAGGGTGTAGGGCTTAAGGTTTAGGGTTTACCTCGGCCTCGGCCTGCAGCCTCAAACCCCATGCCCGGGTAGGGTTCGGAACTTTGGCTCTCAGGGCTTAGCAACTTTGCTTGAATTGCTTTGACTCGGGGTTTGGAGGCGGTGCTGAGGCCGTGCCAGCTCCAGGGCCCAGGGTGTTCCGCAGGAGCTGCGGTTTGGGATCGACCTCTCCGAGAAAAATCGTGGTATTCTGCCAAAAACAACCTTTCACATGTCGCCCGTGATAAGTTGCCACGGCCAGAGCCACCGCTCCTAAACCTCAAAGGAGGTTTTGGTCTGATGATAGTCAGCGCCACCACCACCTTGACCACATCTCAACCGTCATCGCCAGTGCCGCTGTGCCAGCGCTGTCAATAGCATTGCCATTGCCATCACCAGCACAACAACCATTATCATCACTATGATTAACATATGCTTTGTGACCAGAAGCAGCGGCATCAGGCCATCGGCACCATCATCGGTACAACATGCAGCATGCGAATTCGATATTGACGTTCTTCGTGCTCTGAGCTTTTGACTCGACGATCCTGGCAACCTTGCAGTGCTAGAACACGATTGAATACATGTACTCATAACTGTGTACATACGTGTATATGTGGATATGTATACCTGTGTTGTATGTGTGTGTATATATATACACTGTTTTACATACACATGTACAATGTTTCAGCTTGCGTGTATTTAGGTACCGTTGCTTGAGCCCAGCGGCCTGACCACGCTTCTCTGGAGACCCGAAATCTGTAAACGGCATGCCGTTGCAGGTCTGCTCTTCATGCTCTCTGGCTCGAACGTGCTGGTGCTTTGCCTGAGCATCTTCTTGATCAACTCAGGGCAATCATGGGTGGCGGCCAGGACATCTTGGTCTGCGTTGTTCCTTATGTAGCTCAACGTCTGTAAACATCGCGATGACTTCGTTTGTTGTGCCTTTGTGCTTGTGGTTCATTGCTCTCGCTGTGTTACGGCCGCTTGCATTGCTGCAGTGGCACCCTCAGATTCCCAACTCGAATCCTAGGCTTGCACGGCTTGGATAGTGTAATGTGCGCTATAGCTGGTCGAGGCTATGCTTGTCCCCCTTCTGCCACCACTTACAGGTACCCCGAATCCTTCAACTAAGTAAGCAAGATGCTCGATGCCTCGGGTAGCAAGTGAGCTTCCATCGATTCTTCGTGCAGGAAGTTTGTGCTGTTCGGCCTCCTTCGGGACAAGGATGGCAATGTTATAGGCTCCGGAACCTGTTACTTGGGGTCTTTAGTAGCTGAGTGGATACACTTTACACTTTTTGGCATGTATTAGCCACCATAAAACTGAAAGTGTGCACTTCTTGGGGCTTGTGAACTCAACAACTAAGGATTACTGGGGTGTTTTTTTGTATTTACCGTATATACGTGCGCGCATGTGTGTGTGTGTGTGCATGTTTGTGCTTGTGCTTGATGTTGTCGTGCCTATTTCCGAGGCTTAGCCACCCTCTAGTATGACGTGCGATGGCTGACACCGATGATATTGGTGTTGATGTTGCTGCTGTTCTTTGTATGTTCGAGTGACTACGTAGCCTCTGTCTTGGTTTATCGTTGAAGGAACTTTCTATGTAGGTGCTGTAGAGTACATATCTGTTCGCCCCTATCATCGTCAATGTGGCCACCTGGTGCCATTATTCTAAGACCCCAAGGTTGTCTTCATTTGTACAATCATGGCCCTTTTGCACAGGTCTTGTCCGTTTGAAGGCCTTCAGGTTACTGGCTACTTACTTGGTTCCGGCGTCGCCCTCGGCAGGGTGCAGGGTAAGATCCCATTTGGAGTTGTTGGGAAAAGTCAACTGCAGTATCTTTATTGTGCATCCTGCTTAGGTGCTACTTGCATGTGTGAACTTTGGAGGAAGGGCATCGTGAGCAACCCCACAATACCGTGAAGCACCCAACCCAAACCAAACCCTGTCGAAGTGAAGTGCTGTGCTTTCGATGTGGCCGTTTGATGCCCGACAGCCCACGAAATCCTTCTAGTCCGCGTGAAAGCTCACTGGTGCACTTTACGTTGAGGTTTCGGTTCGGTTGGAGAGGATGTAGCTTCCCTTCAGGGCTATGTGTATAGGATCCGGGTCTGGAGCATCTATTTCGGAAGTACGATTCAGCTTTGTTGGTTTGCGCGCTTCCAGCTCCCCGTCCTGCAGGTCCCGATTCTCCGCATTATGCCAACCTGGGCATCGGGGAAACTATCGGCTCCTGAGCAGCATTTCCGGGTGATGACTTTAGCATCGGGGGCTCATTTGTAGCTTTGGGGTTCAGAGCTTAGGGTGGAGGGCTTGGGATTCACACTGTAGGGTTTCGTGTTTAGGGCAAGAGTTGTCGCAAAGGTTAGTTCGGGGCCTCACCCCGTGAAGCTTGCGGGTGATACTGGGTTGCGTGAGGCAAGGTAGGGTGCGCGACGGGGTCGTGAACTTGCGAAGTAGGAGGCAAAGAGCTTTAAACCCTCAACCCTCAATTGATCCGGCAGCTTCTTCGTGAAATGGCAGGGGCGGACCCTGCAGCTGAGCAGTGTCCCAATTTTAGGGGTTAGCGCCAGTGTAGGATTGTTGCATCCAAGCTCAGAAGCCCGTACCGCACCAGCGTTCAGCAGGTGGCCCCTTCGAGGATACGACGGGCCCGGTCGTGGCCTCAGCTTCCGCAACACATGCGGTCCGAGCAGTAACTACCGTCCTGTCAAGACCCTGTCGGTGGCTGCCCTCGATGCCAAGGCCATGAACAACTTCATCAAATTTGTGGCGGTGTTCGCCTTCGCAGCTTGATGGCAAGTTTTGCTTCTTCTTGCCGTATACTAACGGCCGACGATCGTGTTCTTGGTGCGCTGCGTGCGTGCAGGGAAGCTCATGTCACTAATGTCAGACTTATGTCTTGTTTGCAGCCGGTTTCTCCTTTCTGTTTATCGTGCAGGACAAGCAACAGCAAAAGTATCTAAAGTAACCCTACACCTTAAACCAACCCTGAATCCTAAATCCTAAACTCTAAACTCCTAAACCCTAAACTGAACCCTTAATTAACTCGAAACCCTAAGAGCCACACCCTGAAGCCCAGCAAATCCCGAGACCCGAGCTGCACAGCTTCTGCCACCAATCCTTGAAGGCGAGACCCCGAGCAATAAGAGACAGTCTCTTAGGCTAACTCTTAGGGGTTTTAGGGTTCCTTTAAAGGGATCCATAAGGGTTCCTTAAAGGGATCTATAAGGGTTCTATAAAGGGGTTTACACTAATCTGCTCGAACCCTCATCAAGTCTCGGTCCAGGGCTTTGGGGTTTACGGTTTAGGGGTTTAGGGTGTGTCGAGTTTAGGTTGAAGGGTTTGTTCAGGGTGTAGGTTTTGGGAAAGCCGCAATGGTAACAGGGCTGGATGCAAAAGGTTTAGGGCAAGTTAAAACCCAAGCCTCAGCAGCCTCCTCCTGGTGGGCAAGAAAGTCCCACACACAAATGGGATTGGCCAGCTCAGGTTACTGGCGGTCCTGGCAGATTGTATGCCAGAAGCTGAGTGAAACGAGAGGCCTTCTGGAATGAACACGCCTTGTGTAAGAGGCTTGGGTCTAGAATGGTCGAGATGTGGGGGAAGCTGTGTAAGGGATCAGAACTCTGCGAATCGTTGAGGGTGCAGGGTTGAGTCTTCCAGAATCCCAACTCTGAAGCCCTGCTTGAAGGCTCGCCTAGCCATAAGGAAGACGTAGCGATACAGGCACTTTGCGCGGTTTTGGAGTTTGTTTTGCCCACGGTTACCTGACTCATACTGCAGCCTTGCCATGATATGGCCCTTCGGGGGTACCCTCATTAAATTTACAATGTCCCAAAACCACATTCCAATGCAGCACGATGTGGCCGCGTGCTTTCCCTACACTTGAAGCATATCCACAAGTCCTTTCTGGAAATATCGAAACCTTTCCTAAACCCTATAAACCCTAAACCCTAAGCCATGCCTGCATTGCGCGAGTGTGTGTGTCGAGGCACTAAACCCTCAACTCACCAGCGCGCTGAAGATAAAGCTCAAGAGCCGCCGAGGATGAGCTCCCTGACAACACCTGGCCCTATGGCTTCGCTTCCCTGGTCGGCCGCATGCTTACTGTGGGGGTTAGATAGTTGCTTCTTTTCTTTTTTTTTTTTTGGGGGGGGGGTGGGTGTATTATGAATATAGCACAGTGGACCCAATAGCCCCATTAAGATTACTAAGGCCTCTATATTACCAGGGTCAGGGTCCAAGGCACCGTAGGGGCCAACTTCTCGAGTTTGGTTTAAGTTTCATTCGCCACAAACCCTGCGTGTTTCACGTGACCATCTGAGGGACTGAACTAGGGGCTGGGTTGCTTACTTGTAAGGTTCTTTAGTCGTTTGTCCTGAGGATGGTCTACTGTCAACACGATAATGGAATATTGTTGCATTTTTGGAGTTGGCTTACGGTCTATTGTGATTGACAGTGTTGTCCTTTGAGCAAACAGTGCTGAAGGGACCCATGATTGTGTGCGTCTGGTGATATGTGCCCGTCGCCTGTTAACGAAGGACCAGAATCGCTACAGACCTTGCCAGGCTTTGTCCGAGTGCGAGTGTCAAAACCCTAAACCGTCATCGAGTCTTGAAGATTTCAGCGCCCCCCCAGACTGCATCCGAAACCAAAGTCGCATTCCACCTAGGGTTTAGGGTTTACAGCAAGAGCCCCCCCTTTCCCCCGCCTGGACACCGAGGCCTGCTGCAAAAAGGGTTTAGGGTTTGGGAGGAAACGGACTGCCCAAACCCAAACAACCTAGAAGGTTGCACGGCTGAGGTTTTCTTTACAGTTTTCTCCTGCCGGACATGGGACTAATGCTATGTTGCATGCCGCCGTTTCTTCCAGGCTTCTGGACCCTCATGAATTGCGGATGAATCGATTGGTAGCCTAGGGATGCAAGATTATTGGCGCATAAAGGCCACCCCATGAACGCAGACCGCGTGCCTCCAAACCCAAAAAGCCCTGATCCTGAACTCAGAAGCTCCACAAGCCCTCAAGCGCGAAAACCCTGAAGCCTTAAAGCCAAAAACATCATTGACCTGAAACTCCTAGACCCCTGAAGGGAGACCCTTCTTATCCACGCTTCTGGCTCTCTTACAAGGGTCTATATCCCCAGGGTCTCCCTAATCCTAACTCCGAGAAACCTCAGCCCCGATAAAGTCTGGGTTGTGCTTTGGGATAATTTTTAATTTCCCTTATTTCCTTATAAAGGGAACCTATCCATAAGTAATTTTCAAAGGGTTTAAAGCACAACCCAGAAGTGGCATCTCAGGCTCGCTGTCCTTGGTGTTCTTCTCTAGGGCGCGGGCCGCAGGAGTGTCCCTGAACCCTAGGTACAAGTACTATAGTCTTCGATGGATTGTACGTCTATTTTTGGGGTGAACCAGGTTTAGGGTCTGAGGCTATATCAAGGGGCTTCAAGCGTGGGATGAGAGTGATTAGGTGGATAATTCCCAAATGAGAGTCCTGATATAAGGGATTCTTGACCCTATCTACCTTCATCCCACCTTTTGAGACCTCCAAGTAGAGTTACCAAAGTTATCAATGCAGTTTGTTTTGCGCTAGCCAGGCTTGGAATACTTGCAGGATCCTAGGTATCAAAGTTGGTTTACCTCTCCTCTCATGAACCACTACTGAGACTGGTTCTGGTTTTGCCATGAATTGAGGGTTCCTGTTTGGGGTACAGGGTTTAGGGGTTTCCTGCAACCGGGCTTGACGTTTCGAATGCCTGGGAGAGAGAGAGAGAGAGAGAGAGAGAGAGAGAGAGGGTATAGGGGTTCAGGGTTTTGTAAGGGTCTTATCAGGATCTTGGTATGGTTTGAGTTGGGAACCTTCAATTCGCTTCAAAATCCGAGTTCGGGATTCCTTCGCTTCATGTCCTTACATGTTCCCTTGATCCTACAGCTAAACCAACCTATAGTCTCCATTGTAGTTCCTTTTTTGGTTTAACCAAATATATATTAAGGATTCTATAACTAGGATGCCCAGTAGTACCCTTATTCCCTTTTTGTAGTCCTAGGTTCCTTATAGAGTTACCCAATACCAAAAAGAGAGGCCTTTTTATTCTTAGGTTACTGGGTATCCTAGATAAGGTAAGTAACCCCAAAAAGGAACTACAATGGAGACTATAGGAAGAGCTCGGCCTTCGGCTTTTCAGGTTTTTTGGGGGTTCAGGATTCCGGGGCTTGGGTTTTTTCAAGCCTTTCTTTTAAGATTAACAGCTTGCGATTTAGGGTTTAGGGGTTTGGGCCCTAAACCCTAAACCCTTAACCCTAAACCCTAAACCACTGTAGACGTTAGCATTTTGGAACCCAGGGCCCTCAGGCTTCAAGTTTTCGATGCGCTATAGCACCAGGATCTTCAGCCGGTGCTCTTTGTGAGGTGGGCCTGGACCCCTCAACCCTAAACCCTACTTTAAACCCTAAATCCTATTTAAAACCCTAAGCCCTGAACCATACTTAAAACTCTGAACCCTACTCAAAGCCCTAAACCCACAACCGCGGCTTCTTTGAAAGGTGGGCCTGGACCTGCTCCTGCGTGGCGTGGGCTCCGTCCTCCGCAGCCGTCGGAAGATGCAAGCCTACGAGGAGTGCTTTTTAACGTCAAAAAACCTTAAAAAGCATGGTTTCTTGAACAACACAAGCCTACGAGTAGTGCTTGAGCTTCGCTGTTTCGGCTTCGGGATTGGGGTTTAGGGTCTGGGGTTCGGGGTTTAGGGGTTCGGGATTGGGGATAAGGGTCTAGGGTCCAGGGTTAGGGGTTCGGGATTGGTCTTGGGGTGAGGGGTTTAGGGGTTGGGGATTAGGGTTTAGGGTCTAGGGTCTAGGGTGAGGAGTTTAGGGGTTCGGGATTGGGGTTTAGGATGGGTTGAGGGGTTCGGGATGGGCTGTGGACTTTCGGGGGTGGTTTGGAGTTCGGGGCTCCAGGGCCAGAGGGGTCCCAGGGTGGAGTTCCGGTGGTTTGTGATATGGGAGTTTCCGAGAAGTAGGGGTACCTTTGAAGGGTTCCTAAAAGGGATTTATAAAGGGTTTAGGGTTTTGAGTTTCCGAAAAGTAGGGGTACCTTGTTTTGGGGGTCCTTATAATAGGGATTCTACTATTATTAAGGTATTCTATTTTGTTCCCGTTCCCCATTCGGAAACTCCCATGTCGGCCCTTTTTTGTGGAGGCAATGGTACATACAAGCTTGGGGGTGTACAGCAGTTTTGTTGGACTTGTGTCAGTTGCTTCATCGTCTGCTTGGAGGGTCGGGGGACTTAGTAAGTAGGTAGCAAGTAGACTTATAAGTACCCTAAAAGGGACCCTAATTGGGGTTATGGTACTTATAAGTCCCTAAAATAACCAGTTACTAAGTCCCGCGACCCTCCAAGTGGGTCCGAGGCTAAACCCGATCCCCCACTTGGCACTTGGGCTGCGAATGTTCCACCCGGACGATGTCGTGGACATGACCTGCTTTGGCTGACAATCAGATTAGATGTGTCTGTTTGTTTCTAGGTAGGCCTTTGGGATATTTTGTATATTGTCCCTTTTGGGGCTTAATAGGACCCTATTTACGAAGATTTTTCAGAGGCTTTAAAGGGCCAACCTAGGTTTGTGTTTTTTCCCGCCGGGCGTTCGTAATCCGAAACCCTCGAGTAGGCGACAGTCTGAAGTCCCAAAGTCTTTTGCAGCTTTCATGGCATGGGTTTCTGTTGGGTGCCACGAACCGCTGAACTACTTTGCGTTTGGAGTGTGGGGATTCCGGGGGGTCGGTGTAGCATTCATCGTGGTTAGATGGGACACCTGCTGCGGCTGCTTTTGCCCAGGAGGGTGAGGAGATGCCCCCGGAGGGCGAGGATGACGACGACTTCGATGCTGATTTTCATGGAGCGTGACGCAAGCTTTCTCCTCTGCAGTAAAACCGACGAGCCGTATGAAAAGCGCAATCGGAGGCTCCTGGAGCCTCCAGGCGCTAAACCTTTAGAGCCTGAACCCGAAGCCTCAAAACCCGTAAGTTCTAACCCCGAGAACCCCGAGCTTTTTCCGAAGAAACCCAGCCCTGAAGCCCGGAAAACCTAAACTCATTCACCCGCTGGTGGAGTGGAAGAGGCCGATTAGACTTATTCGCCAGAGGGGATGAGGGTTGCAGCGGTTTTGCAGCAGGTTCCTGTCGTCTTCTCAGTCCTAGCCTTTTGGGCTAGTACTCGTACTGGTATTCCTGTATTGGTTTTTGTTCTTGCGCGCGTAGGCTTAGAGCTCGATGAGGACCCAGGTTCGGTCAGAGTGGCTTCTTGTTAGATCCCCAATACCTAACCCCCCTTTAAACTTTTTGGGCTCTTATAGTTTAGTAGGAATCGGAATTTAAAGTTTAACCTTTTATTTCTATGGCTTGTTGGGGTAGTAAGTCTTGTTGGTTTACAGAATTTCTCGGAGTTTCGCTTGCTCGGTTCGGTAGGCGCGTAAAGGCAGAGGTTTGTTGGCAAATAAAGAAGGGAAGGCGAGTATGGTGTATGAAAAAATAGTGACAAAGGCGAGATCACAGATGTAGAGACTGCCGTCTGCTCATGTGTACGTATGTATGTATCAAGCCAACTTGAATGTGCGGAGTGCGAGGAATCATCCTAGAGGTAATGTAGGACTTGCCGGAATGGGATCGAGGGATCAGGTTTGATCCAGATTGACCAGATCTTCGTGCTTCTTACCTGTGAAACTGTCGGTACTTGTTTGAAATTGCATGGACGGAGTGAGTTTCCTGCACCTGGCGAAATAAAACTGCAATTGCAGGACAGGCACCGTGGAATATAAGGCATGGTTCCAAGACGAATTTATCTGGATATGGAAACTTGTGCTACTAGACGGTATTCAGCACAATCGAGTTCATGCATTGTTCAGGATAATCCGCACTAGCTTCCTCCCCATCGTCAACATCATGCCCACAGTGGCTAAGAATGGGTTGAGCACCTCCAATCCACCTGCGGTGTTGTGTACAGGGAGTGTCCAAGCTCCGATGGCACACCGCGTGCTTTCAAACCTCAGGGGCCCATGTGTGCAAGTAATGTCGCCCCTCCACTGCGAACCACTGCCTCACTAGATCGCGATAGAGCAGCACCCGAGTAGTATGGCATGTAGCGAAAGGGCGGTAGTATGATCCAGGGGTCGGCATGGATGATTGGTGGATTCAACCCTAAACCCATGTGTGACCAGACCCAAAGCATTTCCTGTGGCAGCACGTGGGTCCGTGGGAAGTGTGGACTTTCAACACAAGATTCTCAGGAGCAGTTCTGACAAGCGACAGGTCCACGTTAAGGGCTTATGAAGCTTTCGAAGTTTCCAGCTTGGTCTTGCAAGTCTTCGAGCAGAAGTGGGCTGAATCCATATTGCACGTTCAGTATCAGGGTAAGTTAGCAGGGCGCACGGGAAGTAAGAAGGATTGAAATACGTTGAAAGTGATGCTGTGCATGAGAGCATGTGGATGCTGCAGTGCTGAAGCACAGCACCGCATGTTGATCCTTCGTGGAAGTAGGCAGCGACACAAAGCTGAGTGCGATGACCCAACGTGGCGCAAATCACCGAATCGCAAAAAGTGGAATGCCGATGTGGTTTTCTACCGCCTGTACTTACCATCACTCTGAAACTGCTGACGATGATAATGGCGGTTCTCATCCTTACTCTCTGCAGCAGAGGCCGGAGCCCTACAAGGACTTCGACGACTTCTTGCGAATGCCGCCTGCTTACTCCGCCCAGAGACTCCAATATCCCTTAATTCAGGAATACACCGAGAATTATAGTAGGATCCTTGATACTTGATAGGATTTAAGGTATATTCCTTAATTAAGGGATATTGGCGTCTCTGGGTGCATGCCCTGAAGACTCTAGGTGTCAGGCTGCGGCTTAGTGTTCAAGTTTCAGTGTGACAGCAACGTCACGTCCTCCGCAGCTGCTCCCTACATTCGCAGTTCTTGCTCCTGTTGCTTGCTTGCGATCTGATTGATGATTGGATATTTTCGGAAATCTGTCTTCGCTGCAGATCCTGTCGTGTATGTTGAAGGAACCCTCAGAACTTGTAATTGGAATTCCTTCCGTACCTACTTTGTTTTTGAGGCTGCGGCTGAAGAATGCGCGTGAGATTGCAAAGCAGAGATCTGCGTGGGGCTCAGACATGTGGGTGCAGTCAGCAAGTAAGCATGTATTCATGTAAGCGTGTATGCATGACTTACGTATGTATGTATCTCTAAACCCTAATTAAACCCTATAATCACTACAGTTGACTCGAGAGAGCCAACCTAGAACGGCGCTGCGAGCCAAGAACCTCGTCTGGCTGTGTCCGAGTTGCGAGAGCGTAATTAAACCCTGTAATGAACTTCTGCCGGAATCACTCAAGTGCCCCATGTGCACGCGAACCCTCGCTCAGCCAGGCTCTCGCAGCGACCGAGGGCGTCGGGGGCCAAGTAGATATGGGGTAATGGCACGGGCTACTCTATTACTCTGTGCACACTGGAAGGGTTACTCTGAGGGTTAGCATGCCTTGCTCGCTTCGATGAGGGTCACTAGTTCAACCTTCAACCTAACATGTCAAGCCGCTTCCAAAACCATCCGGTGCGGCGCCCTTAACCGAAAGCCCAATCAACAGCAAACATTTTCTGTCCTCAACGAAAACCTCCTAGCCATCTCTTTCTACTGTAGCAGCCTCCGAAGTGTGACACCCTGAACCCTGGATCTTTCCGTCCTAACACGTTTGCAGGTCAGAATAGACGTGATTGACGGCTCCATCGATCCGTCATCCGCCCAGCCCTTAAGCCCGTGTAAGGGCTCAAACAGCGCGTTAGGACGGGTTTGCTCTTGGTTTTGTGTGCCGGTTGGGAGGCGCTTGAGGCTTACTATTATTACTACTACTACTACTACTACTACTACTACTACTACTACTACTACTACTACTACTACTACTACTGCAGACATCGGACCTTGGCGGGGTCTGGGGTCCTCAACTTGGACACATGGCTGAGGGGTGTCAATCCAAATCAGGATCGACAGACTGAAAAGCTTCTGTTCTGTTGTCGAAATTATTCAAGGACGTTGGGGTGAATTGGGACATCCTTGAAACTGCTGGATGTACGGACGCTTTCGTGCTTTGGCAACAGCTTTTCCGGCCGTGAGCCTTTCATCGGCTGAAGCTTGAACCGTGCTGGGTTAAGTTTGCTTCACTTCACGTTGAGATGTGGCCTCATGCTTATAAGCCCAGAAAATTTTAGAACATCTTGCACCTGACAAAGGCTCTGTGTGATACAAGGTCCTGACCCTTTAGGCTGGCACGGCAGAAAGAGAGAGAGAGAGAGGGGCCTTGAAAGTACTTATATAATGAGACTATAAGGTACCTCCGAAAACCCTTTTCGAATTCAGGCCCCGATGTCATGGGCATTAAAGCCCCAGGTTTCGTATAGTCCGTCAGCCGTAATCTCGCAACTCCAAAACCCCCCAAGGTCAATGCCGACTTGATGTCCGAAGTGTACTCACCTCAGTATGCTCTCTCTTTCTCTGTGTGCAGATGTCTATACACAGAGATATAGGTATACTGTAATATACTTTATGTACTAGAGATGTACATACAGATATTCATATTTATGCTGTATTTTGTATACTTGTATAACTTCTATATACTGTTTTGTACATGTACACCACAAAACTACACACGAGCATATACTGCTTTTGTGTCGAGGTTGGGGTTCAACATTCTGCCCAGCATTGGAGAGCTTGTTTCGGTGACTTGAGGGTCGCTAAGCGTCAGGGCATCTGGCTGGCACCGCCGAGGGCTTTGGGTTTAGGCTAGGATGCCCAGTAGTACCCTTATTCCCTTTTTGTAGTCCTAGGTTCCTTATAAAGTTACCCAATACCAAAAAGAGAGGCCTTTTTGTTGTTAGGTTACTGGGTATCCTAGTAGGGTAAAGCCCGGGGATCTTGCACCAGTCACCAGTGATTGGTCCCGCACTGTTCCCCAGATATGCACATGTGCTGGTCCGAAGTGTGGTCCTGAATCATTGCTGATCTACGGTTCTTTTGGCTGACGCCGTGCATCTACCAGCACCCAGCCCATGGAAGAACAAACCCGGTACCCACACCTGCAAGCAAGCAAGGTATCAGTCGTGCTACCTACCGACACAGCCTTGCCCTGAGTGGGAAAGGCTCTTGCCTTCTGATACATGCAGACGTCCTTGAGGATGATGCGGTGCTAATGTTAAACTGAAGAGCTTGACCAGCACCCTAAGAGGTTTAGGGCCTAAGCTGCGTAGTGATGATGCAGTTGATGCTAGAATACCTTTTCTTCATGAATCTACATTTTTCATGAATACTACAGACGTCTTGCCAGGTGCTCTGACAATTTTTGTTGTCAACGTCAACATTACCGTTAGCACTACTGATGGGATGAGTTCCTGGCTTCCTATCTTTCACGTTGCTGATCGCCTTTGTGGCTATTCTTTTCATGTGCATACTGCTGCAATCCGTGCTGCAGCAGAATGCTGAAGTGACAGGCTTAAGCACGGGAACGTGGATCTTTGCGACGACGAATACAGGCCTGTTCAATTTTATTCTTGGTTGTTCAGGTCAGGCAGCGCATGAATGCCGAATCTACGCACCAGTTGCAGCTTCTCAATCCCACTGCCACAGCGCACTCCTGCACATTGTTGCACAATTCCAGACCTGCAAGTGTTTCAATGATGGCGTTCCAAACTGACACAAAACCTAAAAGCCCGAAGCAGGTGTGACCTGAGCGAGGAGTTCTTCAGAATGCTGGGCTGCGACCTGAGCCCGAGCTCTTACCGCTGGTTAGTAGGGAATGGAAGAATGGTAGCAGTAGTAGTTATAATTGCACCCCATTCCTCCAGTCCCTACTAACCAACGGTAAGGAGTGAGGGCAAACACAGAACCCTGGTGTACTTTGCAGCAGCACGAGGGGTGGCAGTAGTAGTAGCAGCAGCAGGAGCAGAGCAGTCGCAGTAGCTGTAGGAGTAGGAGCAGCAGTAGTTGTAGTAGTAGTACTCCGGAGATGCCCAACATGTGAGAGCCAAAATGAGCATCAGGCCCTAAGCATCAAGCCCCTTCCTGCCACATCCCAGATCCCGAAAGACTCACAGCCCGAAACTCGAAGCAACAAAGATGCCTGAACCCTAAACTTTGAAGTAAAGTTGAAACAAAACAATCCCAAAACTCTCTAAGGACCCAAAACCCGGAAACCCGAAACACTTACGAGGAGAGAAGCTTCCCCACCGCATGCTTCTGGTGCTGGCGCGTTGGGCCCTCTGATCTTTTGGGACATGGCTGGCCGCACTGAAGGGTTTAATTCAGTATTCAGGGAAGGTTTTGAGCATTTGGGTCGTTCGTGTTTCAGCTATAAATAGGGGTTTAGGGTTCGGGGATTTGGGGTTGAAATTTACGCCAAATCTCAAACTGTGTAGCAGAGTTCGCTCCCTGGTTGGTGGAAAACGGACTTGCAGGCAACACGAAGAAGGGTGACGAGATCATGGGTGGCTCGTGCCGTGCTTAGTTCCTCGCAGGCTTAGTAAAACAACCCGGAAGATGCAAATCTACCCGGATTTCACAAACTGTGATGCTCAAGGATGTGCTTTATCAAAGACGGCCACATCTTCGGCAGATACTGGGGGCCGGCTGCCTCAGTTACTCTTGAGGCTTCTCGCATTTTTGGAGACCTCCCCTCAAGTCACTCAAAACTTCGCGTCCAGCATGTTGATAATCAGGATAGTGGCACCGAAAGCGACAATGCTTGAAAAGCGCATCTCCGGTACAACAAAAAAGATGACGGGAAGCTACCATGGCATTGCATAACACCGTGTCAATAGCAGCAGTACGAATATTAGCTCTTTTTAGTGGTAGTAGTGGTAGCAGTGGTCCTGGTTGTGGTTGCGGTAGTGGTAGTCGTAGTAGTAGTAGTAGTAGTAGTAGTAGTAGTAGTAGTCGTAGTCGTAGTCGTAGTCGTAGTAGCAGTAGTAGCAGTAGTAGCAGTAGTAGCAGTAGTAGCCGTAGTAGTAGTCTTCGTCGTCGTAGTAGACTACTACTACTACTGCTACTACTACTACTACTACTACTACTACTACTACTACTACTACTACTACTACTACTACTACTACTACTACTACTACTACTACTACTACTACTACTACTACTACTACTACTATCACTACTACTACTACCACCACTACTACCACTACTACTACTACTACTACTACTACTACTACTACTGCTACTGCTACTGCTACTACTACTACTACTACTACTACTGCTACTAGCCACCCATACCACCACCACAACCACGACGACGACTGCTACTACTACTACTGCTACTACCACGATTACTACTACAACTAGTACTGATACTTGTACTTGTACGAGTACGAGTACTACTACTACGACGACTACTACTACTGTACTACTCCTGCTGTTGCTGCCTCCTCCTCCTCCTACTACTACTACTACTACGACTACGACTACGACTACTATTACTACTGCTACTACTACTACTACAACTACTACTACTACTACTACTACTACTACTACTACTCCTGCTACTACTACTACTACTACTACTACTACTACTACTACTACTACTACTGCTACTCAAGACTATCCTGTGCCAGCTGCACGAGCTAGTTCGTGCTAGTACTTCTAGTTGTTGCAGCAACAATGCAGCCAGCCCACTCAGCAATGGCAAGCATGTCGAATTGACGAAACCCTTAGTGGGGACCCCTACCCTATAATGGGCTATATAATGGGTTTATAATAGCTATAGGGTATATACCTAGGGGTCCTGATTAAGGGTCTCTCCGTTTTGACGAACGATGCCGGGCCTCAGGTTCCGCGATCCTGAGAAGGCCCCATTTCTGCACTTCGAATGCTGCTACTACAAGGCCGCAGCGTCGGACTGTGATTGGCAGCTTTGCTTTGAAGGTCGCGCACGGTGCTATAGCAGCTCGGACTGGCCGCAAAGGTCAGCACATGCCTATCAAGTCTTGCCTTCCTGCTAGTATGTCTCAGCATTTCGTGATCAGCTGCTCTTTGACTTAGCTCGGAAATATAGTGGCAATGTGACAGGATAGTCCACTTTATGCTTCTGTGTACATATGCCTTGGCAACATTCACAAGCGTTGTTCCACTTCTGAAAGCCCAGCGGGGAAACCCTGATACAAAATGAAACCATGTAAAACCTTGTAAAAGCCGCTACAAACATCTCATGAAGCCCGCGCAACGTGCTTGAATCCCTTGTAACAGCCTCATAACATCCTAAAGCTGCCCTTCCAAAACCTCCCGCGTTGGGCCTTGGGGTTTAGGGCAACTCCAGGTCATTGAGCATGCCATCCAGCATCGCTATTCGCCAGGAGCCCAAAGGAAGGGTCTATAGGGCTCCTGCAGGGAACCTTTTTGGGTCAGTTTAAGGGGTCCTTCAAAGGTTTATAGGGTTTAACGAACAGGGTGTGGGGATTAGGGGTGAAGTGGGAGCCTGTTAAGAGCAAGGTACCTGGTTGAAGGATTTTTATTAAGTTCAGTGTCCATATTCATGGAGAGAGACTCAACTACTTGAGGGTTTCAGCATGGCTTTTCAGGGATGTGTTTTGCGTTCTTGGGGTCCTTCGCTTGGTTTTGGCTTTCATGGTTTTGTTGAGGGGTTCTTCGGATTCGGATCTGCTGGGTTCGTAGCCGTCCCGCCCAAGACTACTATTTGCTTAAGAACCCCCCAAAAGTAAAAAACATATTCCTTATGGGGGTAATATAGGGATTATTTTTTTTCATTTTTTTGGGGTTTCTTAAGCAAATAGTAGTTACAGAGCCTGCAGAAGGGCACATCAACCTTATTTCAGCCCTAAGCCGCCCTCAACCCCCACGTGCAGAGCTCTGAAGCCAACCAAACCGGGAAGGCGGATCTACAACAACATCCAACACCAAAACACTGGAAAATCAGTTTAAACCCCCAGCTCCAACGCTTAAACCCAAGGCCTTAGCTCCCGAACGACTTAAGTTCCCAAAGAAATCCGCAACCCTAAGCCCTAACCCACCTGTATTTTTCACCGTTTTTGAGTTCGGAGTTGTACTTGCGCAATCAGACCAGAGGGTGCCACAGCCTGAAATAGAAACCCCTAGCATCGTTATAGCGATTCTGATCATAAGTCTTATTGTAGTAGGCCTTGTGAAAATCATCCTTATCTCATATGAACCTTTTCCATTAAAGGTGCCCTCATGAAAGTAACGCTTATTGTTAAGCATGAACCTTTATCATAGTAACTCTTATTATACTACTGCCCCTTGTTACAGGAGCTTTTCATAATAACAACCCTGAGCATAGTAGCATTTTGTCTAGCCGCCCTAAACCATGAACACTGCGTCAAAACCCAAAGCCCTGAACTCCAAAACCTGAGCCCTGAGCCCAAACCTAAACCCTAAACCCTAAACTTAAACCCTAAACCCTAAACTAAACCCTGAGCCCTCAACCCTCCACCAGTGTTTGGCCGAGGCGGATCGAACCGGGGAATGGCGGGGGGGATATTTATAAGGCGCCTCAGGGTAGTTTAGGGTTTTAGGGGTTTAGGGTCTAGGGTTGAGGGGTTTAGGGTTTAGGTTGTGCTTTAGGGTCGTTCTTAGCAGAGGGAGCCCCCGGGCGACGAAGCAAGCCCCCTGCAAAAGGGTTGTAGGGTTTAGGGCTTACGGTTTAGGATGTAGGGTTTAGGGTTTACGAGTGCAGCGGCTCTGATATCCAGGCGGGCATATACAAGTCTGTGCAAAAAGGTTTAGGGTTTAGGATTCTGGGGGCTTCTGGATTTGAGGGTTTAGGCCGGGTTTGGGATTTAGGAGTTTCGCATGTGGGGTTTAGGATATATAGGGTTTAGGGTTTAGGATTTTTGCGGTTTAGGGTTTAGGGTTTCGGGTTCTAGTAGAGTTGAGGAAGTCCCCTAGTCGTATTGCTTCAAAGCGTTTGGGCCCAAAGACCATGCAGGCAAGGCTTCGAGGATTTTGGGCCATTGGGTTCCGGGCCTGAACCTCGACAGATCTCCATGAACTATGCGTCCTCCATGCGAGCTTGAAAATCTAAGACTACAAGTCCGAAGGCCTCAAGCTTGCAGTTATCGGATTGTTTTGGAGTGGAAAGCCCTTTGTTCTTTGCCAGGGGCTCCAAAAAGCCCAAAGTATGTAATTTTATAGACTCTAGGCCCCCAGAGTACTATTCGTATACTTGGAGGTCTAGGGATTGGAATCTAAAGCAGTTTCAGTCGGGCTTGGCTCGTCATTATCTACGGAGCTCCTTCGGTCTTGATCGTCTGGAATTCGTCTCCCTCGAAACTCCGGGAATTCATGCCAGGGTTTTGGGTTTAGGGTGGTAGCCCTTGGGCCACTCGCTCGTGCTAGAGCACAAGACTGGAGTATGCGTGCCAGAAGGACCAGCACTCGTCGTGGAAGTCAATTGGTGCTCAACCCGAAACCTAACAAGGCCTCTGCAGGTTAAACCTTGAAGGCCGAAGACGAAAGTCGGAATTTAGGACGGTCTAGGCTTTATCCGGGATATGATGCCCTGGCATACAAGCAATCCTTGTCCGCATAGTCAAAGATGTCCCGGCCCCATCACGAGTGGGAAGGCCGATCTGCAGACAGGACCGCAACAAAGCAGAACGAACAAATGCAGATGGCATGCGTAATGTATAGGGATAACTATAATATATATATATATATATATATATGTATAACTATGTTCTGTGTGTATATATGTATGTATGAATATCATATTCATACTAAGCTTGCCTGTTGAGCATGTAGCAATGCCCAGTGCCAGCTCAGTTGGAACATTCACAGTTTCATGTCGGAGCTGGATCCTCGACGGTGTGATCCTGACTTGGGTTTTCAACCAGGATCTGAAACCCATTGTCTCAATGGCGCAAGAAAGCTGAAGTTATTCCAGAGAGGGAGAGAGAGAGGGAGAGAGAGAGCGAGAGAGAGATAGATCTTTCTTTTTTCTCCTCACTTTTGCAATTCCAAGTTCTAAACGCGACAGCCCCCCAAAGTACTGCCGTGTGTCTGCTCGTAAGCCCCAGCTCTTCAATAACCCTAGCGGCTACGGCTAGGGTCTAGCTTCTGAATCAAAATCAATGGTCTTCTACCGAAGCCTCGACCCCAAACACCTCAACTTCGCAAGTTCATCGGGTTTAGGGTTGCAGGGTAGAGGGTTTAGGGTATAGGGCCTGTGTTAACTTCGCAAGTTCTCGCTTGACTCCAGGTTCAGCGGAGGAGGGGGTTTGAGCCAGCGTGGCTCCCAGCATGATGCTTGTGTCATGTGGTCTGTTCTTCCCGGAAAGCCTGGATAAGGGTTTAGGGGTTTAGGGTATAGGGTTTAGGGGTTTGGGGTTAGTGGTTTAGAGGGTTTAGGTTCCAGGGCTTAGGGAAAAAAGCCTGTATGGGTAGTTGTCAAAATTATGGCCCCTGTCTGGATACCCTAAATATTCGGTGCCGTATTATGATAGGGACCCAAAAAGGGACCATAATTTTGACAACCACTCGTATAAGGCTTTAGGGTGGCGGCCTTTTTCCAACCTTTCTCTTGCGCGGTGTCTGGGGCCAAACGCAGACTGAGCAAGACGGAAGCATTTCCCATCTTCTGATTTGGCGCGTAGGTTTTGGGATCTGGTGTAAGGGTCTGGAAAGGCGACAAGTTGAAGGCGCCAGAGGGAAGAAGCTCCAACCAGTACTTACAAGTAGGCTGGTGAATTGCCTTCGTTCTTACCATGTGTTGGGAGTGTTTTAATCAGCTTACTTGCTGTATCATGTGTAGATTAAGGCTTCAAAGGGACACTTTGCGAAGGGGTTCAGATTTGGCAACAGCGCCGCTTCCAGCTTCATTTTTCTGCTTGCAAAAAATACATGTGGGGGGCTTTTTCATCTGAGTGGAGCTCCAACGCTCCGTGTCTGAGTACGGAAACCTCAAACATAGCCCTATACAGGTGCAAATACTATTGTGGGGTTCCTTACCATAATCATAGCATACTGGGCCCCCAAAACCCTATTCTAATTAAAGGCCCCTACATTAAAGGACCCCTATTCTAAATATTAAGGCCCCTATATTACATGATCCTTGAACCTGCACTCTAAGCCCTAGTTGGGAAGGGCTTTTTGGGTTTAGGATTGCCCAGTGATTCCATTATCCCTTAGTTAAGCTATATACCTTGAATCATATCAGGGATCCTACAATGAATTAAGGATTATTCCTTAAGCAAGGGATATGGGAGTCTGTGGGTGATCCGACGCACAAAGCCAACCTCTTGGTTTGCGCAGCCTTCTTCAACCTTAAAGCCTGATTTTAGCTTGGATTTTGTGCGAGAGCTGCCTACCTAGACCCCCAAAGTAGGTAAAATAATGGGCCAAAACCTATAAAAGGCTATTATTCCACATACTTTTGGGGTCCAGGTAAGACTTCAGAGCGGAAACCAGAGGCAACCCAAAATCCGAAGGAGCCCTTCATCCCAGACAGGTCCTCACCTCGTCATACCACCTGGTACCACACCCTGGGCTTCAAAAGGAAGCCAGGGACCCAGATTTCCAGGAATTGCGGAGGTTGCTTCGAAGTTGTGTTCCATTGCCGGTGCCTTGTCATAATGGGGTTAAGGGTGGAAGGTTTCGGGGCCTTCATAGAAGAAGAGCTCCTCACAATTCCTCACACATGAACACAGAGAAGCTCTGAGCAGCCCTACTTGACAATCAGATACAGATGAAGGGAATTTGTTTTTGCTATGAGGGTTGTGCTTGCGAGATGAACCTGAAGCCCAAACATCCCAAACCCCAAAATTCTGAACCTTGACATCCTTCAAATCTACAAACCCCCAACATTGCAACCCTGAGGCGTACCATGGTGTGAGAGTTGGACACTCTGAACACAAATTTGCAGTAGCAATACTTACAGTAACAAAATCAGAACAGCAGTAGTAGTAAGACAAAACAACAATTGTCACAGTTACAAAGACTGCTCGTAAAAGCCGTAATCATGTGTTCCGATGCAGGTCGTCCAGCTTGCCTCAGACGCATCGGAATCTGCTCCATCCTGGGTTGTGCGAAGCTGAGTGCCGGGAAGATTTGGTTTGGGGTTTAGGGTTTGGAGCGTACCATGCCTTGTGATGCACAAGCCGTCGATGAGGCAGGCAACTTGGAGGCACTTCAGGGAGACCTCGTTCAAAAAGGGTTTAGAAAAAACAGTGGGTATGCCATGCGTAAGGGCTGCAAACTGAGCAGGACAGTTGAACTGTTTGTAGTTGACCTGCCACCGCCTTTGACCCGTGAAGACTTCTTGAATATCACTCAACCAACCTCAGGCGGAGGACTGATGGTCAGCATTTCGATAAGTGATAGGAAAGGCCGATGAGCCATCCTGTAACATCTTGGCAGGTGGCGTTGATATTCCAGACTTCAACTGCTATTCTCAGGCTGTTCTCCTTTCACCTTGAGCCGTAATCGTTGAGTAAGGAAGCTTAAACCCTAAACCCCTAAACCGACTACAGGCGGGGACCTGCGGAGAAAAGGCTTGTACACGTTAGATGAAAACCTCAAATCCTACACCCTTATGGACATACTACAGGGGCCTTAACAATTAGGATAGAATTTTTGGGACCCGTTATACATTGTTTATAACAAGGACACCTAAAACCGTCTTTGTAATTCTTTAGGCCCCTATATTGCCTGGTGTCGTTGAGCCGGGCTAAGTAGAAAATCTGCTCAATGGTTCTCTCGTCGACTCCCAGAGGCTCCAATATTTAGAAGGGGCCCCCACCCTGTGATAGTGACTATAAGGATTATATTAGGGCCCTATATATTCCTATTATACCACTATTACAGGGTGGGGCCCCTTCTAAAATATACCTTACATTGCCTTACATTCGGGCAGGATCCCTAGTAGGAAGTACGGTATATTCCTGAATTAAGGGATATTGGAGCCCCCTAAACCCTGAACCCTATAGATCCCGTATAGGATCCCTCACAGGAGCTCTTATAGATCTCTGGGCCTACCTCTCGGACTTTGCTTTGGGGTCGCTAAGAGCCGAAGGCCCAGCGCAACTCTGCCTACACACCGAGTCCGCGTGAAGTCGGCTGGGGACTGAACTCAGAGTTTACGAGGTCCAGGTTTAGGGTTATATAGTGCAGACTGGTGCAAAAAAGGGTAGAGTTTACCTAATCGACCTTAAATCATATTGGGGATCCTACTATAATGTCAGGTATACTCTTCAATTAAGGGATACTGGATTCTCTGCATACATCTTTGTTCAGGCTTCTGTCGAGGGCTTGGGTGAAATTGTGTGCAAATGTTGTTTTGGTACACTGGCTTGCTTTGCGACGGCATAATCATAGGCGCATAGCTACAGGAAGTACAAGCCATGACTGCAACTGTGATAGCAAGTGAGGTTGCGGCTGCACCATAACATTGAATACGATTATGTTGAAATCGGAGCGGTTTACACGGGGTGTAAGCAGCTTGTCACTCTTGCCTACTGCTGGTGCTGCTCCGCATTGTTGAACTGCCTTCCTTGCTTTCGTGCCTGAAATGCTGGCACACATTGGCTGTTTTGGAAACTCAACAACCGCGACCTTCGTACTGTAGATAGGCCCTGGTTGAAGGCTCCTGGGTACAGTTGTGCTTGCTTACATACACCCGCCTGGACTCTGAACCCTTTACCCTGAACGTTAAGCTGTTAAACCTCGTGCAAACTCCAACAGTGCCTCACCGCGGGCTCAGGGGACCCGCTGTAGCTTCGGACGCCGGTACAGCTGCATCCGGATTCTTCTTGCACGACCCTGACTGTTAAAGATACCATAGGACACTCACAAGTTTGATTTACCCAGCGCATTTGTCCGTTTCGTTTCTTCCGTGCCCCACTTGCAGAATTCATACAATCGCTACGGATTCCCTTTGGGATGCAAGGCCTCACTCAAAGGTACGTTGGAAGCTGGCCAAATGCTTTGGAAACCCCCCGAAAGCCCTACAATGCCCTACAAATCCCATAAAGATGGTTTTGACAGCGAAAAGCCATTCACAAAAACATGCAAAAAACCTTGAAGCCTTCAGCGACTAATGCCGAAGATTGGGAAACCATCGCTCGGAGCTTTGCTTATCAACCTTCGGCACCGGTCGGCCCCGGCTTTTGCCATGTTTGGGCTCGGTTCTGCTTCGAAGGTTTTGTCGATATCTAGCAAACTCTAGACCTCCAGTTGCCCAAATAGTAGGTTACTAGCCATATCTTCTATACCCCAGTAACCTACTATTTAGGGAACTGGAGCCCTAGGGAAAGCCCAGCCCCGTCATTGTTAGCATTTACTCCCACTGACAGTAGACGCGGGAAGAGGTTTGCAGCTCAGGCCGCAAACTTCCGAAGGAGTGTGATTTAGTGACCACGGTTGAGGCAACAGCCGGTGCGGTAGCAGCAGCAGCCAGCAGCCGTAGCTATCTGAGAGGTTGTCGAAATTATGGCCCCTTTTTGGGTACCCTAAATATTAGGTGCCGTATTATAATAAGGACCCAAAAAGGGACCCTAATTTTGACAACCACCCATCTGTGCAGCCATCTCGCCGTTTTGAAAGCGTTGATGGGCCTCGGCTTCTCATCGCGCCAGGGCTGCAAACCTGGTCTCAGTAGGCACTGCAGGAGCTCGTAAGCCCTTTTTCGGGGCTCCTTTGCAAGTGATGTGGGTTCTTGCACTCTCCAGGAACAGCCAGTAAGGCAAGGGTGCCGTAGAGTGGAGCATGGGCTTTCGAAATTGAGTGTGTCGACTTGTTTTGCTGTCGACGGTTTGGGTTCTAGGCTTTCTGTTGTACACATGTCTGTGTATATAGTATGTATATATATATATATATATATATCTGCAGAGCTCACCATGGCAGGTACATCGGTGCATGAATAAAAGAAAGCGGGCGAAATACATAGACAAGTAGATACATAGCACAATACAAAGAGGCATTCGCTGGCTGGGGTTGCCGCAGCTATACTGCGGGTGTGTTTGAATGAGCTGTTTGTGGAACCGTAAGCACTGCGTTCGCCTTGCATGTTTCCCTTGATTCGGAAGGGATGTGACCACAGCAGTGGTGGCTACAGCACAAGCATCACTACGCCACCATCTCTCCAGCACAACAGCGACAGCATCGTCACCAGCAGGAGCACCAACTGCAGGAACAAAAAACAACAACACATACACGCAAACACATGAAGAGTCAAGCTAACTCTGAGAAACCGAGCAGGCACATTGCCCCTAATCTGGTATGATATCTCTACAAGCAGACGCACAGACACACACACACAAACACTCACACTCGCATGCACACACACACACAAACACACACACACACACACACACACACACACACACACACACACACACACACGTGTCTGTGCACCAGTTTTATATGTATATATGCAGGCAAGTATGGATGAAGGGGCGGATGAATGCACATGTATGTGTACATGCGCACATACATGTATGCATGTGCGTATGTGTACGTAACTGTATTTATGTATGAATGCACAGCCGTACGCATGCATGCACCATGCCTCTATGTACATACATAGACACATACATACATACTTGCTCACTTACTTAGTTATGTAGAAATACGTGTAAATACATACAGGCTATAGACATAAACCTAGATACGGACATCCCAAGACCTCAACTTCAATAGCACAATTCTGAGGTACACCTTCGATCATTCGAAGCTGGTCGAGGCACTCCTGTTCGAGACGTTCAGAGTTTATAGAGTTTAGAGTTTAAGCAGGGTTGAGGAGTTCCGGAAGGCACGGACTACGACAAGGGGCCAGCAGACTTCCGGGTTGAGGGTTAATCCTGCCCTTATCCTACACCCTAAAGCCAACTCCCTAGCAAGGTTCCGGGCGATGGCACAATACGCACTCTGGAAGGGAGCGACCCAGAACTTCTCTCCAGAATGTCCCTGTCTCCCAAGCCCTGAAACTAACCCCTAAACCCAAGGCTTGTGCCCCTCGAGAGATTAAGTTTAGTTTGCTTTTTCGCGTCCTAAACGAACCCGGATGGTTTAATGGTTTAGGGCTTGAGAGTTTACTGGGCTTATTCAGAAGTACCGGCGCCAGCCCGTGGCTCATAGAAGAGTTTCTGAGCTTTCCATGCCCGAGGTCAACGTCCTCCATGGCACATCGACCCTCCAAGACAAGTATGAGGTACTAAAGCAGCTCTTGGCCTGCAACTTTGATTAGTAGGGAATGGAAGAACGGTAGTAATAGGTTCCTTTAAAGGGATCCTTTAAGGGATTTATAGGGGTTAGGGAGTCCGTGCTGAAAAAGGGGTTTAGGGTTTACCTTTGGTTAGTAGGGAATGGAAGACTGGTAGCAATAGTAGTTATGATTGTACCCCATTCCTCCATTCCCTACTAGCCAAAGGTAAGGCAATGCTCTCCCGAACCTGCGGTGTTTTTCAGCGAGCGGTCCCGGGTTTAGGGTTTGCGGCACACCTAACAAAAAGATACCCACTTCTTTTTTCGACATGCACGACTGACCGTATGTTCGGAACATGAACAAGCCCAGGACCTCCCAACTGAATCCTGGTGCTTGGATGTAGCTGGTGGTCGTGGCTTCGCTGGTCGTTGTTGTCCTCGTTGCTGTTGTTGTTGACGGGGCTGGGGGTCGGGGTAAAAGTGGGGGTGGTGGTGGTGGTGGTCGTTTCTGTTGAACCCTACTACTACTGCTGCTGCTGCTGCTGCTACTACTACTACTTCTACTACTACTTCTACTACTACTACTACTACTACTACTACTACTACTACTACTACATCTACTACTAAACCCTAAACCCTAAATCCCCTAAGCAAAGCGTTTAGCTTGGTATGAGTTCATGAAACCGAGGCATCGAGCTGACGGTAGTTTTCCCTCCCTACAGCCCCCCGACAAATGTAGCAAACACGCGTGTAATTGGCAGTTTTCCTTCGCATGAGGCTCCGACCTTGTTGCCTAAATCTTACACTTAGCAAGTAGGATATAAGTAGAGTTAGAAGTACCTAAAACCTAAATTAGTAGATAGGTTTTCAGTCACGTTATAAGTACTTCCCCCAAAACTGGCTCAGGATTGGGACTGGCACGCAGGGGAAGACCTTTCTTGTGAAAGTGAGGCCGGTGGGTGCTAGGGTTTACGGTTAGGGCCCCTCCGAGGATCCACCAAATGGGACCCTTAAAACAGAAATCTCTTGTGACACATGCGGCATACACACTCTTGCGAATCCTTTACATGAGCTGTCAAGGTGTGGGGTGATAAGCCGATAAGCTTCGGGACTTCCATGAGCCGTATATATCATGCTACATGATGCTCCATGCGGGCTTGTATCGAAAGCTGAGTGCACATATCTCTTGCAGTTGCTTACAACTCCGTCCATATACTCGTGTCCCCAAACCCGGAACCCGAAACCCCTCCTACGGCTTGGTTCGGTGTTTGAGGCTACCTATAGGTGGAGAGCTGGGCTTGTAGAGTGTAGCGCAGCATCGCAAGTTTAGGGTTCAAGACTTTACAGAAAAGCCTTGTTTCAAGCTTAAATTACATAATTATTATCATTCTTTTCTTTAGTTTCCTGCATCGAGTTGTGCTGAAACATATAACAACTCCACACCTCATTTTCAGTATCAAGGCCCCTATATGAAACCCTTAAGCCTGAGCTTTCGGGACTCAGATCTAGGGTGTAGAGTTCCGCGCGGTTAAAAATGTGTATAGGCTTAGGTTTATTGCATGCCGTGGCCTGGCTAGCGGCTAGACTTGAGCCCAGTAGCATAAACGGGTCTGGGCTTCATGGCTTTCCGCAAGCTCCTCGGAGTAGGAGTAAGAGTAGGAGTAGGAGTGGCGCTGCATCCCCGCATGTACTTACTAGGGGGGATTCACAGACTTTTGCGCGCACTGCGTTTGTGCGTCGCACGAACACTGACCGCGATTCTGTTTAGTCAACACGTCAGAACCCGCATGTTTGGGGAATTTCGCGTATAAGTGCTTGATCTCTAAACCTACATTGGAAGCCTGCAAGGGACAAGGACGGTGAGCACGAGAGATCTGGATCATTTTCCGGATCCCCGGTCTACGTGGTCAAGGAAACGCACGACAAGAGCCTCGGCGAATCTTTACTTCCCACAGGCTGTAAAGGGCACTCAATACGAGGAGCTCAAGTTCGACCCCATAGAGCCAAACGTGTAAGTTTTCGTGTTGATGCTGAACTCTGGAACTGGGTGTCACTACAACCTGCATGTTAGCGTCTAATGCTGCCTTAGGTGACAGTACTGATGGTGTGAAAGGTCCGAAGACAGAGTTGGAGTCCAGAGGTGACCTCATACACTCAACTGCTGGAGATCCAGCAACCGGGATTCAGAGGCCCCTTTGACCCTGTGCGACTGTTGTAACGTCCTTGCGCCGAAAACGATGTCCACTCTATAGCTCAACCCAGACAATCACCAGAAGACACGTAGTAGGACTCCACAGGTCATAAGGGCCCCTCAACATCCCTCAACCCATACGAATTCGAAGAAATCACACGTGCAGCATGTCTAAGAAGCCACATGTTTAAAGTTTGGCGGACGCCTGACTCTGAGGAATGCTGCGGCTTGCGCAGAACTCAAGCACGAGTTCGAGCGAATGAAAGGCTTCTGGCCTGCATTGTGGCGTGGGTAGGATACGTAGGAGTCGTGAACTTTGGCTGGAACCTGTTTAGTTTGTGCCTGTGGATTTTTGCTGGACGCTCGAGAATCACGTTGCGGGTGGCTCGGTTACAATTAAGCATTGAACCGTTGCTTGAACGTAAGATACCTTAAACTCAGACGATACCACTATAATCGTTTTCCACTTCTGAAGACAAGCTTTGCCCGCCATGCTGCTGCATGGTTGTAGGGTTCCCCATGCCAAACGACGTCACTGTGCTGAAATGAGAGTTTCCGAAAATAGGGGACCCTAATACAGTACACCAAAACTATAGGATCCTTATTATAAGGACCCCAACATGAGGCATCCCTGATTTTCGGAAACTCAAAACCCTAAACCCTTTATAGAACCCTTATAGATCCCATTAAGGAATTAAGGAACCCTTAAAGGATCCTTTTACCGCAGCCTTTACTTCTCGGAAACTCCCAAATCCGTCCGCATCAGATTCGTTTCGTCGCACGAAGGATAGCTTTTGCGTGGATGGCAAGACCCTAAACCCTAAACCCAAGTTCTTTTGTCACATTGTCAGACTCCGAACCATACTGTGTGCCTCGCCTGGATTGTCCGAGTGTGAGCGCCGAAACCCAAGTTCTGAGGCCCGGTTTTAGCAGAAGTGAATCAGCGAAGGCAGTAGAACCAACAACTCTTCAGATCACGCAATTTGAAAGAAGATCGGGCACGCCGTTTCTTATTTGTGAAGGTCTACTTCACCCCAACATCACCAAGGCCTGCAGCAAGAGGGGGCGGTAGGGTGGCGAGTTTAGGTCGTCCTTGTCGAGCAAAGGACATACTAGTCGGCCAACCTGTGGTTCTGTCTTTCGTGAAGGGTTTGTCCGGAGTCTGTCATGAGACCTGATTTTGGGCTATGGGTAGCGTTGCACTGGTTCCACTGCTAATTAGGATTCCGCTGTTTGGTTTGTTTCGACCCTGGAGAATAGTAGAAAGGCAGTGCCTAGCCTCTCCCGATGATGTCGGGCTCAGCATAGAGGTTCCTAGATTCCTCACCTGTCCTCCGTCTCTTAAAATGTTTTGAGTCCGAACCCACAATATCCCTAGCCCTCAACCCAAAAGGTAGTGTTTATTGCAAGACCTAAACCCTAGGAACTAGAGTAGGCCCTTATTCCCTTTTTTAGGGTTCAGGTTCCCTTATAAGCCCCTTTACACCAAAAAGGGCACCCTTTTTATTCCCAGGTTACTCTTGGGTCTAGAACCCAACACTCCTCAATCCCAGAAGCTGTAGGTTTCGGGGCTTTAAGGCTTCGACTCCTGCAGCTTGGACCGGGACAGACTGCAGGCACTACGAGTTCAGGGTTCTTTTGTCTAGGGATTAAAGCCCTGAACTTAAAAACCAAGAAGGGGTGTTCAATAAACCTAAACCCCTAATCCCGAAACTTAAACACCAAAAAGGGGTTTAGGGTTTCAGGGTGTAGGATTTATTGGCCTTTTCGGTGGAGGTCGTCGAGTTGCTGGAGGGGCGGGTGCCCGAGGACGGCACCTGGAAGGTGCCGACGGGTCTCGGGCAGCGGAAGAAGACTGGGCTCTTGCCCAGGAACTCTATTCATGTTACCAGATCAGCGACCGAAAGTAATGATAAGATTTCTTTATTATGGTAACTTACATCACGTTTCCTCCAAAAGAACCCAGAAATCCACAGCACACTCCAAAAGTGTAGCATCACTGGGATTCGCTATGTTTTTTTATGTATATCTACCCAGAGTCTACTCATTAAGATAGTATATTGCTGCTCTTCTGGCGCCCGCCGCAAGGGTTTCGGGCTTGAGGGATTCAATGTATTAGGACTTTCGGAAGTGTGGTCTGGGTCTGGGTCAGGTCGGGTGCGACTCCTGTTCCAGCCAGACTGTATCGATGCGCGTGCTATTTTGGGCTCATGTGTGGTCTTGGGGGACTCCAGAGGGTTCTTGGGTAGGTCGGGGTCTATTGCCAGGTCTTTGTTGCTGTCTCGCATGTCTGGGCCGAGAGCCGCTTGTGAGCGCAGACAGCGAGATCATCAGTCGGATGGCAAGCCCGAATTAGAGTCTTGGGCTTGGGTCCTGCATTCAGAAGCCGGAAATGGAAGGATTGCCTCTACGTCGTTTACGAGCATGCAGCCCGGGAGCCCAGCTTGCATTGCTTCGCATTGGGATGAGGAGCAAGGTGGTTAGTATAGGACAGCAGCCTCCGGCAACGACGGTCGTAACGACGACCAAACACCAAGGAAGTCCTCAACCCTGCCCCAACCGCCAGCATTAACACAGTTCAGCAGACCCAGGTTCATGAAGGAGTGATCTACTGCACAACATTGGGAGTCGGAATAGTTTGTGTAGGTTTTATATAGCTATAGCATAACATATTCCCAACACCCGGTTCCAACTGTGAACGCCCCCCAACTTCATGAAGACGTGACCTAGCATCTACATCTGCGCACGCAACCCTTCAGTTCCAAAATCTAAACTGACCACCGGTTCGGAGCTAAACCCTAAACCTAAACCCATAACCCCAAATGCTCCAAATCTTAGCTGTTGTCAACTGTTCAACCCAGACACCCTGCAATGCGGGCTTCGTCCTTGCTATGTAGGAGGGAAACAAACCGGAGCGTTGCCTGCCTTGTGCGACTTCGGGGGTCGAAACCCTAAACCCGAAACAGTGAATCTGAGGTGTAAGACATCAGATTCGGCCTCGAAAGCTCCGATAACCCAAACCCAATTTGGGTCAGATAGGGTCTGCCCGAGGGCTCAAATTTCAAGCTTCGGGGTGTCAGGGTAATATAGGGGCGTTATTGATCAGGATGCGTTTGGAGAGATGTTCGTAGTAGCATGCTCGTAGAGAGACTTTAGTGATAAGGTGGTACTATTACTTCTTCAGACCACTATGTTTGTCCAGGGTTTCCGTGTAAAACACTGCATTTGCATGCCTCCTCCTGCGGCCGTCTGCTGCAGGTGGGTGGAGACCTCTTCAACTACATGCAGAGCATGTCCCTTGGGAACCCTATAAACCCTAAACCCTAAACCCTAAACCGTGAGGGACATCCTTTCAGGGGGCCCTTGGCTCGAGAATCTCCGAGTTCGAGAGGGTTTGGGGCGCTTGATCTCGAGTTTCGGGCCAGAAACCGTATAACTTGGCCCCCCTTCGCCCGATTGTCTCGCTATGACTGCTGCATGCCTGCTGGCGTCGATGACCCCTTCAGGGTTTGGGTGGGGTTTAGGTTCATGCCAGGATCTGGCTACCCAAAGGCCCCAAAGTAGTTCCTTTTTGGGGCTCATATATAGAATTCTATTAGGTAATCCCAAAAAAGGAACTACTTTGGGCCTATGGGTAGTCCCCAAGCCAGTTGCAAAAAGGTTCATGCATGCTGCTGGAGCGCTGCTCAAAGGGGTCGAAATCAGACTTGTTCAAGCCTCGGGTTTCGGGACTTTGGGATTTGGAAGGACTTCGAAGGGTCGTGTCCGTGGCTTAGCGCTGCTGCAGGGTTTGATGTTCTGGTGCTTGAGGCATCGAGGGTTGTGCGTTTTTGCTGTCGGTAAGGTTTTTGCGCGAAGAACCTTCAAAATCCAACTCCCTGTAGTTTGCGGCGTGATATCCATGGACGGCGAGGTTTCAGTGCCCAGGGCATCAAGGTGCAAGGGTTCGGCTTCTCCAGCTGTTCATCTTTATTTCGCCAGGTGGTACGCGCCCCGACAATGACTGCCCGATCACCCAGAAGTTGAAGTGATGCCGAAGCCTTTGCGACCAAAGAGATTGTACATTCTAATAGTATAGTAGCACATTCTATAGCATAATGTAGGAACCTGATTACGAAACCCTGGGCCTATATCCCTGAAATCGTAGGATTCATATCAGGCACCCTGCTGCGTTATCCAGCCATGCAGGAGGCAAAAAATATCAGGAACCCCAATATAGGCCCAAGGTTTCTTAATCAGATTCCTACATTATATTATAATACCCTTATAGATCCCTGAAGTAACGCTTATAGACCCATTTAGAGGAACCCTACAAAAGGCCCAAACCCCAAACAGAGCATTCTAAGTTTTTACGGCCCCCTTCGGGGCTGCCTTGTGCCAAGGATCCGGCACGATAAACCCTAAACCCTTGTGCCAAGGATCCGGCACGATGCCGCGAGCTCTGTCACAGAGGCTTGGGTCGCGCAGGCGCGGAGGGCGTTAAGGGAGCCCCTTTTGAGGGAGCTTAAGGGCTCTTTTAAGGGCTCCTTTGAGGGATCTATAAGGGTTCCTTTAAGGGCTCGGTCAAGGGATCTATAAGGGTTCATGTAAGGGCGCAGGATGTATTTGTGTAATGGATTACAATCACGTGTGTTGGACCTACAACCCAAAAACCCCAGTGGTGGCATGATCCATGCCGACTTTAATACAGTGGTCGGAACAACCAGCAAGAGTATCACCTTACTTAGAGTCTTCATATAACTACACTACACTTCCCTAAACCCTAAACCCCTAAATCTTGAACCCTAAAACCCTACACTTTAATAAACCGCAACGCCACTTGTTACAGTAAGGCCCCTGCAGCACATTTTGTCGGCTTCAGAGGTGAAAGACTTGACGAAGCGTCTTCCAACACCTAAAACAACATGAAACAATGCCTAAACTTTAAACCTTGCATGAGCCGTAAATCCAAAAAAAATATATTCCTATACGACTGCCACTGCTGTATCTCCTGAGATGCCGGGGTTCCCATCCCGGACCTTTCCAACCAGACACTTGGGTCTGGGGGTTCAATAGGGTTTAGGCCTGGTCTGTAGTCAGGGTTTACGGGCTTCGGATTTAGGAGTAATGCAAAGTTTCAATAGGTCATAGAAGATCCTCGATTCGATAAAGATTGGGGATTCTGCAGCACATTTTCGTTGTTAAAGGCATTGGTCTTTACATGCAGCGGTTTTCCCAAGTGTCGGGTACTGCAGGCTCGGAGGCTGCCAGCCCGTGACATCCAGCAAGTGGACCTTCCGTTTCAACTAGATTCTCTCCCTAAACCCTAAACCCTGAAATGCTCTTTGGAGGTTTTCCGCCACGTCCTGCTGGGAGTCTCATATCTTCACAGTCGGGCTCCTAGCAGCGCCCCATGGAGGTACTGAGGGGCTATGCCAACGTCTTGGAACAGAATTGTTAAGGTTGGTCCAGAATCTGAGATAGTTTCAGGGAGTCCAGTAGATGCAATGTAGTATGCCGAAGCTGTTACGTATCGACACCTATACTTGAGCTTTAGCTAGCAGCCCAAAGCAGCTGTCTGCACAGACTGTTAATATGATTCTGAGCAACGACAAGGCTGAAGCCACAAACACACACATCGGCTTCGACGGGAAACAAGGCTGCTGCATCAACTGCTGTTGTGGAAAGAGTCCAGTTCATCAAGCGTTTAAGTGCCATGGGATCAAGACTAGCCGCCGTAATTCACGCACCGACTCAGATCATAGGAATGAGATCATAGTAGCAAGGTGACTGACAGTGCCGAGTGCCCCCCCCCCCCCCCCCCACACACCACAAAACTCGCTGTTTTTTCACATGCTGGCAATGCCACCATGAGAATGATCACCAGTGCGCGTTTGCAGGGCGACTGCGCCTGCAAAGTGGTAGTGCATCCGGACCTGGCAGTGGGTTCAGGACTAGCAAGCCTGTCCTATCAGTAACTAAATGATATACAATCATAACATATATTTTTTATATACATATATGAATAAAAAGCTTGGCCAGGGCGAGAGGGGAAACATAAAATAATATAACAAGACAATAAAAACATGTTAAACAAATCAGTCCACATGTTTAATAGTAACAACAGTAGTACCAGAGTAGTCCACAGTTTGGATTGCCCTCTTCGAACTCGACAGGGTATTGGATTTACGGCTTGTAGAGATGCTTTCGTCCCCCACCTGATAGCGTAAGGTGAACGAATCGTGCACAACGACCTCAAGCCGGAGAACCTCTTGTGCATGAAAGAGTGGCGTTGCGGGATTTAGTAAGCCTTCCACTTAGGCTTCATACCTGAATCTATGCATGGTATATAGCCTGGATGCCCTAGCCGGAGCGTGGGCATCTTGGTGCAGTTCAGAGCTTGATCCTACCGTCTATCCAACTGCAGACTCTTTGCTGGGGTTCGATATCAGTGCTTTCAGCTGTGGATCGATCCTTGGCGAGTCTTTTAACGGATGTCCTATATAACTAGTCGGACATTGGCTTCAGAAATCGCCTCTGTTTGTTTTACAACTTTGCTCGTGCTGTCTGGCTGCTACGGGATTTTGATTCGTTTCTGCGGCTTGGTAGCCCTAGCTTGGAAATTTTCAAGCTTCATAAGGACTGGCCTGAACCCTGAACCCCTAAACCCTAAACCCTAACCGTTCCTGCAAAGCTCGGGACATGCTCGCCTGCACTCGCCGGCGAGGTTTGATCCTGCCCGTCCTGATCAAGTCCCGTGGGTCACCATCACCGATTTTGGGTGCGCCAAGGCGCGGCAAAAAATTGGGAGTTCATTAAGGGATTATAATAAGTAAGGGTGCTAGCTGCGGCCAGATGAGAACAGATGAGGTGTTCTGTTTCTTAGGGCTGGGTGCTTGGGTTGTTTGGGTTCTAGCCTTCTAGCCTCGGCTCCCATTCATTAATTGGCCGTCCTTACCCGAAACCTAAAGCGCCAAAGCCCTGAAGTCCAGGCCGTCTTCAGGCTACAGTTCACTCTCGGAAACCCTGAACCCCCAAAATGGGCTGCGTGTTAAGCTCGATCCCCCTGTCAACTAGCTCTGCACAGGCAAGCCGAAGCCTTGCCATCTAAGTCCCGGCCCCGAAAGTTTCGAGCAGGCTCTCCTGCATGTCCTTAAGACCCATCTTTCTGGGCAGAACCCCGCTTTAAAGCAGCCGGGATTGCAAGGGCGGGCCCGATGCAAAGGGTTGACGCAACAGGCTTGGGGCCACAGGCGGCCAGAAGTGCGCCGCCAACGTTCTTAATCCCTTTTAAAGTCATGTGGAACTTTCCGAAAATGAGGGGTAGCTTATTTCGGGGTCCTTATAATAAGGATCCTACTATATAGGGTATTATATTCGGGTCCCCTATTTTCGGAAACTCCCATGTTGTGGTCACCATGCACCCCTCCTTGGGCCAATGGGGCCGATGAAAAGGCAGAACGTGTGCCCCTGGCCTGCCGAGATGGAAATAACCGGCCAGTGCTGAGTTCTGGACCCCTGGATACGCGTTCATATAACATCATATCTATACCCAGAGGCTCCATAGTAGTTCCTTTTTGGGATTACCTTATAGGATTCTACATACGAACCCCAAAAACGAACTACTATGGAGCCTATCTATACCAACCTCCATCTGCGTGGTCCGAATAGTACACCGGAGTGCAAGTCTTGACAACGTGATGCACGAGTTCTGACTCCGGGAGCTCTGGAGACTGCATGCCTATACGTGTCAACAATCTGAATACTTTGAATATTCTACAATCTGCATGCCCGCAAATTGGTGTCCAGGAAGACAAGACTTTGGCTGGCAGTCTGATCAACATGTTCTGAATTCGTGTTTTCGGGTCAAACTTCAGCTGGAAGGCTATTCCCCGATGGGTGGAATTCAGCCAAGTGAGAGTGGGAAACTTGGTGCTGGGCAGTCAGTGCGAGTGCAAGCCTCGAAGCCTTGGATTTTCTGCTGCATGTCGTGCTGCCAAGTGGAAGGTGGCGTGAACTTGATGTGATAGCAGGGAAAAGAGTTTCACAGGTCCTCTTCAGGACGAACTAGGAGTTTGGGGGATTAGCCGTGACAGCAGGCTTGCTTGATGATGATGATGATGATGATGACAATTCTGAACCAGTATCGCTGCAAACCTTGCCAGGCTTGTCCGAGTGTGAGTGTCAAAAACCATAGCTTTGATGTGATCCTTATACCGGGAGCTGGACGGACAAATTTGGCAGGAATTCGATTTTTGGGTTAGCATTCAGAAGCGACGCAACATGATCACCAAGTCACAAGGCACAGCAGTTGGGGTGTATGCCACAGTGTATGTATGCATGCATGTATGTCTGCATATATATATATATATATATATATATATATAAGCATAGTATATGCACATTGCCGCTAGAACATGTAGAAAATTCCGCACAAAGACAAATGCGAATCACAAAAAACATCTGTTTTTTTTTGCGCTCGTAGCTTTGACTCACTTTAGACACGCACCCAAAGCCTTAGGCTTCAAGCCCCTACCCTCACGGTGACTCACGGTCCGCGTTCGATTATGAAGAAAAGACCCGAAGCCCCGAAACATCCGAACCTTACTGGCACAGCAGGTCGAAGCCGAAACAGATTTCTGCTCGGGCGATCCGAGATACCAGTCGCCAGAGACTTTCAAGGCGGGCTTGGGTCTCTTAATTTGAGGCCCCAAATTTGCAGCCTCACAAAATGTTCGGAGAACCCAATCTACAAGACATTTACGAGCCCCCCAGTCTATGTGGCAAAAGACCATGCGCTCCGTATCCAAGATCTGCAATTTCAACTGTATTTTTGTAAGAGTTCAGGATAGGGATTCAGGGTTTGTCGTTGTCAATAGGCCTGGAAGCAAAACGGTTTAGGTCCAGTTTAGGTGTGGAGTGCCCAGAGCAAACATAGAATCGGTTTTGAGAGTCATTTGAGTCATTTGCTTTTCAGTGCCCGCGCCACAGTGATATCAACCAGTCTCCAACCAACAGCCGAACACATCAGCTTAACATAAGATCACAACCTATGGGTTCCCAGTCACCCAGTCGTTTCTCACGCCCCATGAATCCATTAAGGAGCCCGTCACAGACTTGATGGTAGTCCCGAGTACATTCCCCAATTTTTGCATCCCAAACACCCTCAAAGCCGCGTACTTGGAGGGTCGGAGGACTTAGTAAGAAGGTAGTATGTAGACTTATAAGTACCCTAAAAGGGACCCTAATTGGGGTTATGGTACTAATAAGTCCCGAAAATAACCAGTTACTAAGTCCCCCTAAACCCTAAACCCTATACCCTTATAGAATCCCTATAGATCCCTTTAAAGGACCCCTTAACAGGAACCCACTCAGATCCAGCCTGACAGGCCCTCGTTGCCTCGTTGAAAGGGCACACAACACTGGGCTTGGCTGGCTTCTTGGCTTCAATCCGGACCCTACGTCGTTATCAGTTAGAAGGGGCCCCCACGCTGTAATAGTGGTATAATAGGGCCCTAATATAATCCTTATAGTCACTATTACGCTACGGCCTTCTGGTGCCGATCTCTGCATGGAAAACAGTTGAGGCTCCAGCTCATGAGTGTAGGGATCTGAGTGCCTGGGAGAGAGAGAGAGAGAGAGACAGAGAGGGATCTGAGTAAGTGGTAGTAGTTTTCAATAGGGGCTCTCTACACGAACTCTTATCCTAATCGTCAAGGCACCCGTATAACAGCCGATTATAACACATGCCTTAACCCTTCTTGCATCCTTAGTAAAAATCCTTTTAAAGGAACCCTGTGTTGATGCTTAGGTCCCTTAGACTGGCACCTTTTAACACCCTATCAAAACCGTTGGCATAGCTTTGTATACACTGTTTAAGAACCCTTGTGTCTGCCCCTTATGGTGGGGGTACAGAGAGAACCACTGTTCACCCAAAACCTTGAATGGCCAATGACCCACAGCCCTGAGCAGCAAAACCTGGCAAGACCCAATACAGAGGTTTTGACAAACCCAACATGCCCAAACACCCTGAACCCTAAATCCTGGGCCCTATACAAATCCTAAACCCTACAATCCTAAGCCTAAATCCTAGACCCTTAAACGAGATCCTAAACCTCAAAGATCCCAAAATCCTAAATCCTGGCTCCAAGAATCTAGAAAGTGAAGCTCAGTGTGAAGTTCTCTCTGTGTGAAGTAACTCAGTGTGAAAGCCTTCTATAGGAATCAAAGAAGTGTAAATTCAGTGTTTATTGACATTCATTGCAACAGTGGCGCCGGGACCGTAGTAAATTAGCAGGAAGTAGGTTAGCGCCAACGACTTGTTGCTTGTGCTGCAAGTTAAGGTAGGAAAAAAAAGAATCTAGAACACGCATGCAATGCTTCCACAGGTCGTGCAATTTGAAGCAGCGTTGCTAGCAAGACCTTGGCGTCTACGCGTTTTGCCCTGCTATATGTATTTCTGTCAAAAGTAGGGTCTCTTTCTGGGTCCTTAGTATAATACGGCACCTAATATTTAGTGTACCCAAAAAGGGACCCTAATTTTGACAACCACCCATATGTTTGGCGCCAGCCCAAGCTGACTTACTACAGGCATTGTTTTCATATGGGTGGTTGTGAAAATTAGGGTTCCCTTTTGGGTACGCTAAATGTTAGGTGCCGTATTGTACTAAGGACCCAAAAAGGGAGCCGAGTAGTGCACATGCGGCTGTTTTGCGACGGACGTTAAGAATCGCAAGCTGGCAAATCCAGCGCAGATTTTCTCGTTGATTGCCGAAGATTGAGCATTACACCAGAGTGGGACTTGAAAATGCAGACCCTGGTTTGCTACTATACACCCCAAATCGACCCAAGGTGAGATCAGCTTTCCGGCAGACATATGGTCCCTCGGGGTGGCTGGGCTGCGCTACGACGAAGCCCGAGACCCGAAATCTCCGAAATGAATGAACAAGCACATTCTACTGAACCCTAAACGAACCAAGGAATTTTTCTGTTTCTCGTTCGTCACTACCTCAGGGATTGGAGGCCGATGTTTAGCATCCAGGTTTTGCAAGGTCTAGGCGTTGCGGCTTCAGCGTGAGTGAAACGGATTCCGCCGTATCTCGCGGGATCGCTTGGCTCTCGTTTGGCTGCAACCCAGGAGCCTCCCTCAGTTTTCACTCTGCCCGCAAGGTTCAGGATATTGGGGTAGTAGGAGTGGGGCCTGGGTGCAATTTGATTTGACAAACCCAGGTCACACTCTTCGAGCTTCTGAGTGGAGGCCAGATCTCTGTGTTTGCGTTAGAACCCGATCGTCGCAGTTCCTCATGTTTCCGCGGCTCTCGAGCAGACCTTCCATGCCGCGATTGAACTTCGAGGGTGTGCCAGGAAGAAGCCGCACACCATGAGGGGTGGCATTTCGTATCAGTATCTTGCTTGTTTGAGGCATACAGCGACGGCTTGCAAGTGAAGCAGCGGCATCAACTGGTAGTGTAGTTGTGCGGCGGTTGTCTTCTCGTGTGTGTGTGTGTGTGTGTGTGCGCTTGTGTGTGCGCAGGTGCTCGCACTTGTGCTTGAGCTTGGTGAAGGTGTACACAATCTTGTGGCATGCGTGTACCTTCAAGGTGTATATATATATACACACACACACATATATATATATATATGTATACGCACGTGCATCTTTAAATTAATGTTTTGCCTTGTACCTGTGATACTTGTACAGGTCTGAGTGTGTGTACACACACATGCATCCCTACATGCTTTCATGTCTTCATACATTCGCACAGTGCACATATATTCTTACAAACAGTTGGTTTACCCTGCTCGTCCCATGTAACACTTGCAAGAGTATAGATATTTGTCCAGCTTCGTTTCCAAGTCAACATACGCGTCCTGTAAGAATGTAGGTTTCCCACCGCATGTCTTTGCTGTCGACATGAGGTGTCATCCCCTTTGTGTACGAAGCAGCTCGACTGGAAGACGTCACTCATTACCCCAATCAGTGGGAGAAGCTGAAGAAGGGTGTGCTGGAAGAGGACAGCCTCGTTCTCAGTTTGGGTGTAGAGAACCGAAGAAACGTCTGTTCTGAGGCATGGGTTCGTTGCAGGGGCACAGCATTTGCATAGTATACCCTTTTGACGGACCTTCAGAGGATAGCAGCTGACAGCTCAGGGAGGCTCGTGTTTCATGCGGACGTGAGCCTAGACTTGTGTCGATAGATATTCACTCGGATCCTTTGCGAACTTACGTTTACCGTGACACATCTGGCGGCCAACGAATTGGTGTCTTGATTTTTATTCTTTACCAAATGGTCTATTACTTTTTGATGCTGCTGCCGAGCACGATTCTGATGATGGTCCTTTTCTCTGACCTCGAGGATTTCCGCTCGCGCTGGCTCCGAAAACTTCAAGCATGTTTCGCGAACTCTGCTGCGAACATTCCCTTTGCGGCAGACTCCTGTGCAAGTTCGGCTGTGCTAGAACACCCTGCAATTTTGCTCGTGACGGTTGCTCATGATGAAACGGTTTGGAAGGACATTGAATTTGGAGACAGCTCAGGGAGTCTTTTAAAACTGACATACCGTGGGTACTGCCCCCACTCAGTAACAGTTTGGTTTTTTATACAGATAGATAAGGCCCTTAATCAATTAGACCTATCAAAGACTGTTACTGTATGGGGGCAGTGCCCAAGACATACCTGTATTGGCATCGGTATTCGAAGAATCGCTCTTCACTTCAATTTTTAGCGTGGTGAGTACCTTGATTAGTACATGATTAGCTTGCTACTACTACTACTACTACTGCTGCTACTACTACTACTGCTGCTACTACTGCTACTACTACTACTGCTACTACTACTACTACTACTACTACTACTACTACTACTACTACTACTACTACTACTACTACTACTACTACTACTACTACTACTACTACTACTACTACTACTCTTATTTGTATTGTTAGAACACTATAGACCGGATGCTGCATATCCAGGAGTTGCAGCTTCAGCCACACCTCGAAGGCGCTGGGAAGTCTGATGCATGGTGCACTCGACGGTCCTACAAAAACCAAAAAATTGACTATACCATCAGGAGAGTTACACTAATATTGCTCTAATTGTACCACAGAGCCCTGGAATATGTCAAACTTTACTATACTCTCACGATACTTTACAGCAGCATAACCGTAACATTGCTACAATGCCCGACGTTTGTGGCAAAGGGGACGGGGGCTTCAGAGTTCGGAGTTTGCATGTCCACTTCCCCTAGACTCCCGAAAAGGAGGCTTTGCGAAGTTTGAGGTCTGTAGAACTCCAAAGAAAGAAGGATCTGCGAGTGCACTGCGAGGCATTTCGGAATCGGCTACAGACTTGCTGATGCGGATGCTCCACAAGGCGCTCTTGCTTCAGGGCATGCTGAAGATGCGGTCCAAACAGATCTCGCTTTGTAGTATCTCCAATGGACTGGTCCGACTGATATCAAATATATCCCAAGGGATCGGTGGGCACTCAACTTCCAATTGCAATTGAACCCTAAGCCCTAAACAAGAAAGCCTAAAGGTTTCTTTCGTTCAGCAGCCATGACCCCCTGCAAAACCCTTCGTTGGACCCGAAGGGCAATCCTCCATACCCTACCCGCAGGCTAAAAAATATACCACAAAAAGGTACTACAACGGTGCCCATAGGTATCGAGACTGTCTACGGATGGTTGTTGTCCGAGGAAACCTAAAACCTTGGTGGTAAGAGCTCGCTGTGTTGATTGAAATTGTTGCTTGGGTGGCCTTGCCGGGACATGAGCATATCACGAGCCCTGTCAAAAGAAATCAAAAGGGTTGTGAGCACAGAGAACGGTTCGCAACAAATTCCAATACCCGCTGCGCATTGCAAGATACTATATTACAGGAGCTCTTTTTCAACTTTTTTTCACAGCCAAAGCAAAGGTCAGAGCAACCCAGGCCCCGAAACCCTACACCGCAAACCCCGCGCACAGAGCGCTTGCATTTCCCAGAGAGCCCAATACCCCTTAATTAGGGAATATAGCTTAAATCATAATATGAATCCCTTTATAATTTAAGGTCTATTCCTTAATTAAGGGGTATTGGGCTCTCTGGGTTCTTGCGTATTCAACCGCTTCAAGAGTCACGGCCACGGCCAAGCATTCGACGCCACGGCCCCTGAAGTCATGGGCTCGGGATACTCCATCCTAGGCCCGCCTTCATCCCTGCAGCTCTGTATGTTTGTAATCGAAACTCCTTTGAAGTTGAGGTGGTTCGCAGAAAAGACTTCAATCCTACAAATCCATGCCTAATCTTCTGCCCAGCCCCTGCCTACACTCCTTGCTAGGAACTCCAACACCCCTTACTTACAGTTTCTTTGTCAAGGAGCCCCGTCACAATTCGCAAATCTTTAAGTTTCCTGGGTTTGGGGGGGCATCGCGATCCAATAGATGAGCTGCGGCCCCAAACCCCTAAACCCTAAACCGTAAGAGGGACGTCGGAGAGACATCAGCACAGGAGCCTGACGGCAGGCCAACTGCTGCCGAGATGCTGAAGGATGCCGCCTGCTATGCATGGGCCGTGTGTGAGACGGAGACAGGGACAGACACAGAGACAGAGAGCGAATTGGACCGGCAACTTGCCTTAGGCCAGACACTGGCGGAGCCGTTTTTCAGTTTCTTGTGCCGCCTTTGAGCGCAGGACACTTGGTTTCAAACGAGTCCGACCTACGGCCGCAAGATCAGCAAGCAAGCTCTGTCGAAGCCGCTTGTGCTGATTAGCACTTTGGGCTTAGGCTTGGGGTTTGGGTGTTTCGCCGGCAAGCCCGCATCAAGGGCCAGCACTGTGTAACAGTAGAAGCGACGGTAGAAATCTGCAGCACCCTAAACCCTAAACCCTAAACCGTCGACACCGTTGTCGCAGCTTGTCCCCCTTGACACTGTAGGTCGGGTGCAGGAAGTTCAGGGTTCCCACTCGGGCTAAGGTTTAGGGTTTAGGGTTTAGGCTTAAGGTCTAGGGTTCAGGAAGAGGCCTAGGCTTCAGGTTCAAAATTTAGGGTTTTCGGTTACGGGATTATGCTACCAAGAAGTCCCTGTACTTTCGACCAAAACAGAACATGAAGCCCAACACACCTGCACCCACCCTGAACCCTGAGTGTCAAAAAGCCCCTAAAACCTAAACCCTAATACCTAGTAGTAGAGTAGGCAACCTTTAACCTTTTCTGGTAGTATAACCCCTATATAACCAAACAGGTTAACCTTTAGTTCCCAATGATACCCGACAAGTAGGAATATCGTTGACCCTAAGCCTGTGTTCAAGTCCCCAAGTAGCTGCAGTCTCACTCAGCAGACCTCGAACCACGTGCCTCGCCTGGATTGGGTTGTCTGAGTGTGTGCGCCAAGACTCCCAGGCTAGAATTCAAGAAGAGCAAGGCCGGCTGGCCTCTCCACAGCAGGAGTAGTAAGCAGTAGTGGTGGTAGTAGTAGTAGTGGTAGTGGTAGTGAACAGGAGGGATGTCACATCTGGCTAAGCTTATTGGAGTTAGACTCGGGGAGGGTTCTAGTACCCGTTAAACGGTTTAGGGTCTAGGGGTTAAGGGTTTATCAGATTATCAGGAGTTGGATCTGGGTTTCGGCTCTGAGAGAATCGTCTTCTACCAATTTGGCCACTGCATTTCAATCGGGCCCTGGGGGTTTGGGGCCTCAGGGTCAGAAGGCTCTAAGGGCGGGATGAAGGTAGGTGGGGTGATCCCAAAATAAGAGTCCTTTTGTAAGGGATCCTTAATCCTGCCTACCTTCATCCCACCTGTTGAGGCCACCAATCAGGGTCATGACCTCAAGGACTTTCAACACCACTCCCAGAACCTTGGGCACTGAAGCCTCCAAGTCGGAGTGGGGCAAAAGAGGCCTCTAAGTTGGTCGCCTGGTGGAATCGCTCCGAGTGCCGCTCCGTTTATCCTGATGTAGAATTAGTGCGACCGGAGTGTGATTTAGAGGTTACGATTTTAGGGTTATATACTGCAGTTGGGCTGCTTTCCGACGATCTTCTGGTGCTACTTAAGGGCCCAGGGGACTTAGTAAGTAGGTTATAAGTAGAGTTATAAGTACCCTAAATGGAGTTACCCCAATTATAACCCAACTTATAACCGACTTACTAAGTCTCCTGGGCCTCTAAGTACGAGGTGAAGCGGCAACGTCTGTCATGAGGCTCATGTTGTACTCGTTCGTTGTTGGCTGACTTTGATTCGCAGAATCTCCTGTATTCCGACTGCGAACCGTGAGACCTCGTCTGGCTCATCCGAGTTGCGAGAGCGAGGTATAGGGATCGAAATAGGTACTACTTGCATTAGTATATTCTTATAGTCACTTTAAAACATCGTACTTTCATATACCCCCTCCTCCCCCCCAAACAAAACCTTTGAACTGTTGAGGCGCCTCCATTAAACCCTAAACCTCCACACTTTCCAGGGCATGGCTCACATGATCCTGCTGAATGCACTGGCCACCAAGCTTCAGCGTGACCACTACGCTGAAAGCTGGAAGGCATCGGGTTCTCCCGGACCCGAGCTTGAGGGTTTTAGAATTAATTGTTTAGACAGTTCGGAAATATTGGGGTGTAGACTCGTCAGGGATCTTCTGGCTAGTACAGTGTTCTCTCTCGCTTGGCTCCTATGAAAGAAGTGGAGACAGTATACTGAAGAGTTTATTGAAGCGTGCATTGACAAAGGCAGCATGTGGACCCCAGCGTTTGCGAAACGCCGTCGCCACCGGATGAGTCATGACATAACTGGGCTTAGTGTTCGCAGGCCCAGGGAGCTTGGGCGATGATGTATCTCGCTGTCGACCTTCTTTGAGTTCTCTCGGGGGTTTTGCGTACTCTGTGGTAGGTCTCTTGGGCTCGTTCGGCTATTGTAGCTCATGTTGTACATACCGCAACTACACAGATCCCGGCATCAGTATAGCCGGATTCCATCTGCGCTTCTTTTCTCTTGGCAGTCATGCCTCGTTGCAGTAATCATGACATCTATGTCTTATTGTTGTTGCTGCTGCAATTGCTGTTGATTGCGATCATGAGCTGGAGGTGCTGATGCCAGCCCCAAGCACTCCTTGACAATGACAACACAGTCGATCACCAATGGTTGTGATAGTTTTGTGGCCCCATCAGAGCATGCAGCTGCAGGTGTTCCAAAAAGTGGATGCTGCATCTGGGCTGAATTGGACTCGGGTTTCAGGCTTCCTGTCTGCTGGGCATTGGGCCGCAGTTTCGTGGTTGGGGTTTCAGCATTCTGGGTTGCCCCTGAGCCGGTGGCTTAGGCTTGAAGCCACTAGTTTCCGTTATTTGCAAGGAAGCAAACATGAAGAAAGACACGGCAAATCAATGCACATGGTTCTCAAACCAGCTCAGATTACATCTTCCATCAGTGGCAACATCAAGCGCGATGCCCAAAGACAATTTCAAGTCTATAAGACCTATGTGAGGAGCAAAAATTTGGATACCATGGACTCTGTGCAGAATGCTACAAATGCGGTATAAAGTTGCCAAACCAACAGCTGCCATGGCATTCACGTGTTTGTACAACCCAGCGATGCCAAGCATAGTACTGTTTGGAAACTGATAATTGCTGCTCAGTGCTTTCAATTTAGCAGGAGATGATACCGAAGTATCGGCCTTCGGGCCCTGTAGTGCAGCAGCTGGCTGTCAGCCAGGCAGGGGTGCAACACAAATATTGTATAGGCAAAGACACCCTTACGCAAACCCCAACCCCAGCATTTTCCTTGCGGTGCTTAGGACCACAATGGGAGCATCTCCATAGAGGAATTCCGCGCGGCGTGCACTCAGCTCGACATGAGCCGCTTCGCCAAACTTGCAACCGATCTCCTCAGTGTACTACCTGTTTAGGGTTAGACTGGGGATCTGGGGCGTGTAGAGCATCGTAGCATAACCGGACAACACTGGGATACTACGGGTTAGAGACAAGACTATGAAGAGTTTCTGCTTGAGGGTTGAGGGGTGAGGCTTGGATACAAGGGCTTAGAGGCTTTGGATGTAGAGTTTCTGTGGCGACGGTGCAGGCAGCACAGTTACGTCTGTGCCAATATGCCTGCACACGTCGGCTTCGGGACTGCTAGAGAGAGCGAGAGCGAGAGAGGGAGGAAGGATGGGGAGGGAGAGTGGGAGAGAGACAGCAGTACGCCTTTGCATTGCTTCGTGAGTTGGGCTTTAGGACGTAAACGGTTTGAGGCTGCTGTGCTTTAAGTTCCACATTTTAAGGTTTCGCGTTTGTCAATGTAGTCTACTCCCGGCAAGAGGTCCAGAGGTGACCGGCCTACGCCAACTACTATAGGGGCCATTACCTGTACTATTTTGGTGGGTTTCTTCTTATAAGTATAGTAGAATGGGCCCCAAAACCAATTCCAATTATTAAGGCCCCTACATTACGTCAACTGCCCTCTGAAACTGAGAGCTGGAAGGAAACGATGAAGACATCTCACAGCATTGGAAGTGCGGGGCCCTGTTTGGTTTGTTCCGGTTAGTTTTCAATGCAAAGACCCCGCTGGTGACGCTACTGTCGTTTGGAGCAGGAACCTAAAACCCAGAAAGCCGGCGTGTATCGCTGCAAGGGGGCCCCTTCGTCTTGTCCCGGTAGCACTTGAAACTCAGAACCTTTGAATTGCTGGTTGGCGTGCTGCATCTAGCATAGCTTTCTCAAATTCTGCTAGCAGCTGTGAAGCCTTGTTCGCAGTCAGGCCAATGGTGTCCATGCTCACAGGCCTCTCGCATGGGAGGTCGGCGGACGAGTGTCAGTGCCTTGACTTGTTCTTCTTCCATGATTGCTGTACCTGCTTCTATACTCCTGCTCGTCCTCCTGCTGCTGCTGCTACTACTACTGCTGCTACTACTACTACTACTACTACTACTACTACTACTACTACTACTACTACTACTATCTACTATCTACTATCTACTATCTACTATCTACTATCTACTATCTACTATCTACTATCTACTATCTACTATCTACTATCTACTATCTACTATCTACTATCTACTATCTACTATCTACTATCTACTGCTGCTACCGCTACTGCTGCTGCTACCACTACTACCACTGCTGCTACTACTACTCCTCCTCCTCCTACTACTACTACTACTACTACTACGACGACGACGACTACTACTACTGCTGCTGCTGCTACTACTACTACTCCTACTACTACTACTACTACTACTACTACTACTACTACTACTACTACTACTACTTCTACTACTAGCGCTACCACCACCGCTGCTACTGCTACTAATGCTGCCGCGAGTGCTGGACGACCATATTGAAAACATCCACCATGGTCACTATGTTCCTCGTACTCCCTATCGGCGTTTGTTATGTGTCATAGGATGTTGTTGGGTTCAGAGTTCGCCACCCGATCATCCGGCCTTGGAAGAGATCCCAGGCATCGTTGCTGACACTTTGTTCGAGATCGCAGACGTCGACGACGACGGCAGCCTCAATTTTCCAGAGTTTGTGGCTGTGTCCCGGCAGCATAACATGAGAGGGGAGGCCTGGAACCAGTTTCGCATGTGTTTGAGGTCGGTATGAGCGATGTGGCTCTCCGTGCAACGATTAAGCAACCTAAATTGCAGGCCTATTTGCTCAAGCTCGGCTCTTCAGCCCACCAAGCTGCTTTGCTTGTGTTTTGCTCTGGCTTGTTGCTGGAGCTGGGCTGTGAAGAGTGCCAGAGATCCATGTCCAAGTGTTTTTGCCTTTTCCTTTCCGCCGTTGCGTGGCACTATGCCGCTCGGGAGCCGACCTTCTCCTGGCAGGCTGAGGCCGCACGCCTTGAAGTCCGGGCTGGCATGCTTGCGGACGCTTCACATCCTGCCCTTGGCAGTCCTCTTGCAGTCGATTCTGCCAGCGGAGGCTTCTGGAGTGTCGTGGGTGATCTGTTCAAAAGTTTTGCCGAAGGTGCTCTGGGCAACCTGGGCTCCAAGGTCTTTGGGTCCGTCTACGACACAATTGCAAACAAAACATCCGACAGCTCGAACCTCAAGAGCATCCCCGGAAGTGTGAATAACATCTCATCGCAGCTGGGACAGATCGAAGGGACCCTGAAGTCTGTGGTTCATGCGGTGAATGCGGTGAACGATCACCTCACAAAGATTGACGCAACCCTTGACTTCATTAGCCAAGAAATTGCTCAGCTGATCAAGGATCTCGAAATGGCTCCCCTGGAGACAGCTTACGAGTACATCACTCAAAAGCATATGGACTTCGCTGCCTGCCTGCAGAGCGAGGCATGCTTGGTCCAAGGCAATGGCTCCCTCTTCGAGTTTTGCCACGATGACAATGTGTGCGAGAACGAGGTGGTGAACACGCTGGAGCTCAACCTTGCAACCATTCATGCTTATTTGGTCGGCGCCGAAGATCCGCTAAGTCACTCGACGAAACCTCCTCTCATCGAGCAGACCGCTTTGATGCTGAAGAAGTCCAAGACCATTGAATATGATCAGCAGTGTAACAAAACTGCTTACCCTCATCGTCACAACGTTGGCTGCGATGCTGCAGTGGCCTTGCCAATGCTAAGCTACATGATGAAGGCCAGCATTACGCAGCTGCAGGGGACCAGCATGTATGTGTCGATCCTTGATCGCTGGGGATTCAGTAGCAGAGCCGCTGAAGCAGGCAAAGAGTTCCAACAGCGTGTTTCCCAACAATTTGCCCTCGCTGACAGGGCCTTCGGCAAGGATATTCAAGACTCCTTTCAGGCACTCGCGAACCAGACTTTGATGACCATGGAACTTTTCCCAACCTCGCAGTGTGTTCCGAACTATTATCATTCCGGTGACTCGCCATGGCACACGCATGATCGCTGCATTGTTACAGTGCTTGCACATATTCTGGGCATGGAAGACCTTTGCTGCGGGAACGGCAACCTCACGTGTGAGTGGTATGATGCCCCACTCAGCCTAGACTTCGATGGTTCTACTGTTTGTGCCTGGAAATCGCCGTGATGCCTGCAAGAAAAGGCGTAAGTTCGAAGCCCGAATCCGAAAGCCAGAAAGACTGCTCTCAGGTCACTTTCGACTGGTCCTCCTTGGACAAGAAGGCTTGGCGATCTTCTGGTTGGCTCTGTTTTACTTTAACTTTTTGGGGCTTCTCTTTGAACTATAGTTATAGTAAGGAGGCTAAAAGTTTAGTTCAGAAGTCAGCCAAGAAGGCGCTCCATCAAACGCTGAAGCGCCTCTTCGACCAAATGGACAAAAACCATGACCAGAAGGCCGGCGTTGAGGGTTCAGGGTTTTGGGGTTTTAGGGTTTAGGGTTTAGTGATTCCAACGTCCGGCCCAGCCCGTGACTCAAAAAGGGTTTAGGGAGTTGAGGGTTTAGGGTTTTAAGGTTTTAGGGTTTAGGGTTTAGGGCGTCCTGGCGGAGTCGCAGCAGGCCAGTTGCAAAAGGGTTTAGGGCGTTGAGGGTTTAGGGTTTAGGGTTTAGGGCGTAAAGTGGTCAGTGTGAGTGTGTAGCCACGAGTGCTACAGCATTGGCCGTTCCCCGGCAAGACTTCAAGAGGCCTGGATGCAAAAAAGGTTTAGGGCGTTGAGGGTTTAGGGTTTTATAAGGGTTTGAGGGTTTAGGGTTCAGGGTTTTGGGGTTTAGGGTGTAGTTCAGAAAGCCGGCACCTGTGGTTAAGAGATTTAGGTCCTTTAGGGTTGAGGGTTTAGGGTTTTAGGGTTTAGGGTTTATGTTTTGAGGGTTTAGGGTAAAGGGTTTCGGGTGTAGTTCAGGCATGAAGAGTTGAGGGATACTGAGGGTTTGGTTGCTCCCGAAGTGGGCCGAACATGACCATGATTCGGATGTCATTTGCACATGCGCGTGTGTGCCCGAAACCCCTGAACCCCAAACCGTGGTGTATGCATGCATGCATTCACTATGCTTGTTTGTATGTGTGTGTGTGTGTGTTTGGGTAGGTGCGTGCGTGCTGTACATGTCTTGTAGGATTGCATCTTTCGGGCAACAGCTGCGTCATAGGGATTCTTTTTTTTTTGGAGGGATCTCTGCCCATCTTTATCCTAGTATATATGCATATATATATATATATATATATATATATGTATATATATATATATATATATATGTATATATATATATATGTACATATATATATATATATATGTGTGTGTGTATATATATATATATATCCCCTGCAGACTGATTGGAAAGGGTTCAGGCATGCAGAGCAGTCGTGAACCAGGGTCCAGTATTTTAGCTGATCTGAAAGCGAATTCTCACACCGATTTTACAAGGTCTTTTGCTCTGTGCAAGCATGAAGCTGGGTGGTTGTCAAAATTATGGTCCCTTTTTGGGTACCCTAAATAGGTGCCGTACTTTAGTAGGGACCCAAAAAGGAACCATGATTTTGACATCCACTCAGCTCGGGAACCTGATGTTCCACTGTCCGGATGGAGCCCCTGGGAAGTAAGGTAAAAGTCAGAAAGTTGGAATATGATTATCCTAAACCCTGAATGGTACATTATAAGGTATCCTATCCTGAAACCATATTCCAACTTTCTGGAGTTCCCTTTAGACCTCAAGGGTCTTGGCCTGAACTGAGTGAGTTAGCATCGCCTGATCACTCGACTTGAAACTGTATGTTGTGAATGAGACGTGGTTTACACCCTATAAACCCTAAACGGCCCTAAACCCTAAACCCTGAACCCTACGCTGCGGAGAAAGAGTCACTGCACATTTTAAAAAACTGTAGGGTTTAGGGTTCAACCTACATTTCTCACAACCCGGTGGCCTTGCAAATGCAAGCCAAACACATCAAATCATGAAACCTTAGAGACTCGACACTCCTTTCCGCAAAACCCCAACCCTAAACCCTAAACCCCTACATAAACCCCGAAATCCCAAACCCCTAAGCCCCCAAACCCCTAAACCGCAAACCCTTAAACCCTAAACCCCTAAACCCTAAACCCCTAAACCCTAAGCCCCTAAACCCTAAACCCCTAAGCCCCAAACCCCTAAACCCTAAACCCCTAAACCCTAAGCCCCTAAACCCTAAACCCTACAAACGCCATCGGAGGTGAGTTACGAAGAGCTGGCGGGTATTTTCCAAGGAGCCTTAAGCACAGAGGAGGTGAAACGGGCTTTCTCCAGGCCCCTCCGATTGAAGGGTTTCGGGTTTAGTTTTTGGGGTTTTAGGGTTTGGGGTTTCGGGTTTAGGGTTTCAAAAACCGTGCTGAAAAGCGTTTGGTTTTAGTGTTTCGGGTTTAGGGTTCAGGGTGTGGTTTTAAGGTTTGGTTTGAGGGCTTATGGTTTAGGGACCGAAAGGGAGAATGGATCTCGAACCTTTTTCCGTTTCAGCCTTCTTGGGTTAAGTAGAACCCGACCATTTTAAACAGAGGTTGCAGAACCCTCGGGGTACCCTGGAACTCAGCCGTTTGTCAGTTTTTGAAGACGGAATAACCCCTGAACCCTAAACCCTGAACCCCTAAACCCTACCTTCTGAGAGGCTGAAGGAGTTGTGGCTTCGTGCCCGAGAATCGAGTTCTGGGGGCATGCTAGAACCTGGCATGGTATAATAGGTGGTTGTCAAAATTAGGGTCCCCTTTTTGGGTCCCGATTATAATACGGCTGTACTATTTACAGGGTACCCAAAGAAGGGACCATAATATTGACAACCACCCATGTATGGGGCCGCAGAGGGGGACCTCTAAGCCCTGGCTGAATCGGAATCCTACCTATAGTCTCCATTGTAGTTCCTTTTTTTGGTTAACCAATTTTGTGGCTAGGATCTTATAATAGAGATTTTGGTTAACCAAAAAAGGAACTACAATGGAAACTATAGGTAGAACCGGAAGCCTTGCTTGAAACAGTCTTGAGCAGAGCAGAGAAGGGTCCTGCTTGGAAAGGCTGCGGTCATAAGTCTTCTCCAGCAGATTTCTGCATTGGACTTGGCATTGCGAGAATTTTCAGGCACTGTAGGGGCCTAAATAATTACCAATACTATTTTGGTGGATTCCTTATTTTAGTTATAATATTAAGGGACCCCAAAACCCTATTCTAATCATTAAGGCTCCTAGAGTACCCTCTTGTATCGGCCACGGTGTCTATCCCAGGGCGATCGAAACAGAGCATGGCAAAGAAACGAGTGACCATTTCGGGCTTAGGAGGGGGGACCCGCACATGGAGGATAACTTCTTGCGGGGCTTTCTATTGGAGTTTCGTCATACTTCATATGTCATAGGCACTCTCATCCATTATGCGTAGGGTGCGTGACACATCTTGAACCCCAAGCCCTGAACCCGGCACATGCCTTTACAAGGATTGACCTGCATGGGACCAACTATCTCACCTTTGAAGAGCTGGATACATTCTTGTTTAGCGCGCTATCTGCCGAAGACATGGAGACGCTTGGCAGTTAGCTGCGTCCGCGCTTCAAGTTTGCAAGCTGGCTGCTGCATGCATGTGTGTGCGTGTGTGTGTCTGTGCATGTGCGAGCGTGCGTTGCACCTTAGCAGAAACGTCTTTAGAATCAGATGCTGTGTTCCTTGTATGAGAACTTTAATTTCACTTGCCTCAAGCTTTGTATTGCATCCGACCGGCTCGGTTTCATATGTATCTCGTGTAGATATGAATATATCGCCACAGAATCATCTTGCGATGCCTCATATTTCGGATATGTTTCTTGTATCTACAACTAAGCCTCTGTACGCAAGTCCTCAATTCTTTAATGCCGATTGTGAAGCCAAGAGCTCAGCAGGTGCGTAAAGTCCGTAGGATACGAGCTAAAACCCGGTTTTGTGCAACGCAAGCCGGCGTGGAGCCACAGCACCTAGGGTTTAGGGCAGTTCATGCATCCTACAGTTACCCAAAGGCCCCAAAGTACTTCCTTTTTGGGACTACACTATAGGATTCTATATATGAACCCCAAAAAGGAACTACTTTGGGGCCTTTGGGTAATATCAATCTTGGGAATCCCCGAAGTTGCAAACGGACGGAGCCAGGAACTCAGCACCAACAGCATCGTAACCTGAAGCCCCAAGGCCGATCAAGGCCGTAAATTCCAAAACCCCCAGACTGTACACGAAGGAAATATTGCTCGCCGGATTGCCTTCTCCGCATGTCTTCCTCCCGGCGAAGCCTTCGCTATTGGAAGCTTGCCTTGAGGGGTTCAGGGTTGTGGAGTTTAAATCGGAGGCCCCAAACGGTGGGATTGAGGAGGTGGGATAATCCCAACATAGGAGTTCTTATATAAGGGATCCTTCATCCTGCCTACCTTCATGCCACCTTTTGAGGCCTCCAAGTTTAGGGGTTTCGGGTTTAGGGTCTGGGGCCTGGAAAGGTTCAAGACAGAAGCCGAGCCAATCAATACCGGGTTTATGACCCCCTAATAGACTTCTTCTACGTGTTTCTGGCGGGTCTGTTTCGACGTTGAAAGCAGGGCCGGAGATTCCCCTCTTCAGGAAAAAAGGGCCAGTCTATCTGTAGCTGCTTAACGTTATACGATTTCAGGCTTCATGGTTCGGGCTGGCGTACGTGGTGCCAGCGTCAAAGCGAATCCCTTCCTGGAATCATCTTGCCGGTCACATACGGCTGAAGAATTGAATAGACAGAGGGACAGGTGCAAGCTGTGGTCGGTCATGTTCTGCCCACAAGCTGTTGGGCCACAGGGTTTGTTGCAGCTGTCTCTTTTCCCGAAACCTTCATTTTAAATTTTCCACGAGAAGCACGTTTAGGACCTGGTGCGATAGCTGGATTGATTCTGCTTCGCACATCTCTGCTGAAGGTCCCCGTGCAGCTTCACAACTAGGAATGCCCGTGGTCGTTTTCATGCCCCCACCTAAGCGCTATCCGCAATACTAGGCTCCGAACGTTTTAACCCGTCTTGGTGTGACCTTAAACCCAAAACACCTACACCTATACAGGCCCTAAACCCCTAACTCCCTAAACATACACCCGACTTGTCTTTGCCATGCCGGCTCCTCTGTGCGAAGTCGGAGGCAAACACACCCCAAACTTCAAACCGTAAACCTTTGTGATCCTCACCATGTGGGAGTTTCCAAAAAGGTAAACCTTATTTGGGGGTCCTTATAATAAGGATCCTACTATTTAGGGTACTATCTTAGGGTCCCCTATTTTCGGAAACTCCCATGCCTGCACGGCTCAGGCAGAATCCTCTCAGTCCGCTCTTTCCTCGAAAGCGCAACGATGCTCGGACCATGTGTTGTATGGTTGCCTACCCAAAGGCCCCAAAGTAGTTCCTTTTTGCTCATATATAGAATCCTATAGGGTAATCCCAGAAGGGAAAAGCTTCGGGGCCTTTGGGTAGTAGTAGAGTGGTAGGCTTAGGTGACCTTTAACCTTTTTGGGGTACTATAGTGCTTATAAATTCCCAAAGGTTCACATTTGGTTCCCCATGATACTCGGCAAGTAAGGAGGGTTGTTCAATGTTTTTGGGCTACAGTAGAAGGTTCGTGGATTCAGCTGCCAAAAGTGACGCCTGGAACGCTGCATGTTGTGTTCCAGAACCGCGTGGACAGAAGACGGGTCTGACTGGCTGGCATTCCATGCCCAGTACGGGGTTTAGGGAGGGTACAAGTTGCAAGAAGGGAGGGTGCACCCTAAACCATGGTTAAGCAGGGGGTACACGATGAGACACAGGCCCTCAGCCTTACAGTTTAGCTGCTACCAGCTGCGCAGGGACATACTCTCCACCCACCGAGGACAAGGAGTCTGCGCAAATGGCTGCCCGGAACTTGTTTCGCAACCTCGGCACGTGCCTGACATGTATATGTCCCGGTCTGTAAACATGCAAGGGGCAGACAGATCAGAGCAATTTGTTCCGGCCGTGTCATGTCTACTTCGACGCACGCGCCGGGAATGTCCGAACCACAAGCGAGACCTTTCAGTTATACGATCCAAAAAAGTGCCACTAGCGCTAACCAGCAACCATGACCAGTCCTGCCTTCCCAACGCCATGACCTGTACTTCTACAGTTCAGTACCAACGGCCATCAATGACCTATCGCTGCTGCCCCCAACCCATTCCTGCAGCGCTGTCTGCCCCTAGCAGTTGCCCATGAACACACCATGGGTACCGTCCTTTTCGCGCTTACAACGCAGGTAGCCGGCAAAGCCGGGTCTGCTGGGAGGTCGGCACTCTCCCCGTTCATGTTAATGTTGTAGCCGCTGCTTGCTCAGGGCATGAAGTCCGAGGGCGAAGAGCCAGTGTGCATGAAAGGTGGTTAAGATGCCCATGCTCCGAACTCCCCAAAAGCAAAACCGGAATGAAGACCTGATAGCCACGGGTTCTACATCAAGCTCCCCTACTAGAGAGGTGCCCAGGTTGCAGGTGAAAAGGCTGACGTTGTCATGCACAAGTAAAAACATCTTTGCAGCCAGGCTATGGAAGATGCAAGTGTAGCTGGTCCTGGGTTTTGTAGGATTTAGATCTTGAGAATGCAGGTCTTTACGGTTAGGCATTATGGTTCTCAATACATTTCAGTCCCAACCGATGCCAACCCTAGATCCACAGGCAGGTGATGTAGTGCTGCTGAGCGAGTCATCTTCGTTCATCTTCAGACGGAGAGCATGAACCCGACAAGAGTCAGCTTCACAGGAAAAAGCGGCTTTGCTGTGCTTTTTGCTGGGTGCATTCACGACCCTGGTCATCGACACCTGACGTAATGTGGACCTGAAGCCAGCATGTTGCCTACCAAAAGCCGAGCAGTAGTCCCACAGCAGGTGGGAATACGTACTCGACTTGGCAAAAAGCAAGCGTTAATTCTATATAGACTGAAAAAAGGAAGAAACAATGATCCTAAGCCCTAAAGCCCTCGCCATAAGCCCAAATCAAACGGTCCTTGCGTTTACAACAATGTCAAATCTTCCTATTCCGGAAAATCCCATGTCCGCTGCCTCCCGAACCATCAGGTGCTCACATGCAGATTTGTTGGGCTTGTTTCTTGAAGACAGGGGATCCCACCTTCCTGGTCCGTAAAACAAGGATCCCACTGGTTTAGGGTTCAGGGGTTTTGCAAGGGGGCACCTCAGAGAGCCCGGGTTCAAAAGGCGGTTTTTGCAAAAGGTTTAGGGCTTTCGGTTCCCTGTTTGACACTCCCACTAGCAGCACTGACGCAAGATCTCCAGGGGGTGCAGAGGAGGTCGATACACACCCTAGTCGGGGACCATCTTGCTGAAAGCTCCCGCAAAGGCATGGCTGTCTGATGTGGCCCACGATTGCTGAGCGCGTGTTTTCCACAATCATGGCGGCCCTGTTCTACCGATGATCGGGTTCTGGTAACCCCGAGCCTTCGAGCTTCTATGAGGCGGCCACGGGGTAGGGCCGCGTTTAACAAGTACTCCTGGCAGCACCGTCAATGCTGCACCAACTTTTTTGTGGTGTGCGTGCTCCAGCTCAGCATTTTAATTTGTAGATTGGCGTGGGTTCCCTCGTGATTGGGTTGCTTATCGCGATGCATTCGCAACCGTCCAGGATGTTTACATTTGGACACACAGAGACAGACAGTTCGAGAGAGAGAGAGAGAGACAGACAGAGATGAGATGTCTAGATGTATGTGCAGACAGATATAGAAGTCGAGCTCCTACATGATGCTTGGGCGGTGGTTGATTTGTGGTTGTTTGCACAAAGCCTGTGTGCATGCAAGAAGCATCAAGCAGCTACACATTGATGTCATTCCCTGTGCTTCCCCTGTTTCATTGGGTTTGTAGTTGTAGCTGGAGCTCGGTGCACCATGTGCATACTCCTTCGGTACCCAAGCTCGCCAGATGATTGTGGCAGGGCGCTGTGTGGCCTGCAGGCACGTTGTATCACAACTCTGAACCATAAAACCCAAGCCGCAAGTCCTGACTGCACTATTCTCCCAGGCAGTATTTGGGAGACCCCCTCTACTGTAGGAGACAGTTCTTAACCTTACTTCTGGCTCTCTTAAAAGGGACGGGTCTATATCCGCAAGATTCCCCCCAACCCTAAAAACCCTGGACACCCCAAAAGCCCCTAAAACTTTAAAATCCTAAATTAAAACCCCAAACACTCAAAAGCCACTGAAACCCTAAAACTCTAAATGCTCAAAAGCCCCTAAAGCCCTGAAGCCCTTGATCTTAGGGGTACTTAGAAATTACTCTTTGAGATTCGTATTAATCCCTAAGAGACAGCTGAAATCGCAATTTTTGCTAGGGGTCTAAGTTCAGTACAGTCCCCTACCCTAAACCCTCCGAAACCCTAAAGCCTAAGTTCAGTATAGTTATGTTCAGTACAGTTATGTGCTCTTGACATTCAATGAAAGCGCCTGCCACGCTTTGCAAGTGCAGTGTTCCTCTGCGAGCCAGACTCTGCCGCAAGGTAGGCTGGGAAGGCAACCATGCTTGAGACAAGTTAGAAAAACTTGCATGCATGTATACATATATATATATGTATGTATATATATATGTATGCACATGTATATGTATACGTGTATGTGTAGTTTTAGATCGATAGGGTCCAGAGTTTCTGGACCCCAAAAACTTCACCTTCCGAGCCTCCTTCTCTAAGAGTTTCTAATCCTAGGTTCCTGAGTGGCGCCCTTTTGCCCATTTTTGTTTTAGGGCCCCCTTAAGTTAACACCCAATACGAGGAAAAAGGGTACCCTTATTGTAAGTATTTTCACTATTCCAATTATTAAAATATTAGAACAATAGAAATACTTAAAGTTGTATTAAAAAGGGGCTACTCAGGAACTTAAAATCATCTTTTAACCGTTTAACTAGTTTTTGAAGCTTCCCTCTCGGCGAGGGTGGCTCTGCGCTCGCCAAGTGCAGGCTTCTCGCCGAGTAGGACGATTGGCCATTGTTTTCCAGCTGATACTTCATTGCCAGGAAGCTACGGGTTTAGGTTTTAGGCAGCAGATGGGAGTCTAGGGTGTAGGTTTTAGGCAACAACAGGGAGTCTAGGGTTTAGGGTTTAGGCAAGAAAAGGGAGTATAGGGTGTAGGGTTTAGGCCAAAGGGTTTCTAGACGGCAAGGTAAGATGCAAAGGCCGAAGCCCCAACTGATCAATCGCAGGTTTCCATTTGACTTTTCGTGGCGTGGGTTTCTTAATATACAGCTATTAATTAACAGCCCTCCGAAGGGAGCCCACACGAAGGATCGTTCCTTCTTTGCTTGCTAACAGGCAAACCCCCCAGACGTGTAGGGCCTGGGTCTCCGATGACGAGGTGCCAGGCAGGTCGAATGCCGCAGCTGTGAGCATTCCTAGAAAAAATTGCGATATTGAGACGTATAAGGGTCGCGGAGGGCTTTGTGAGTGTGTTTTTGTATAATGGTCTTAGGAGGGTCTTTGTAAAATTAAGGTAGAGTTTCTATATCCCTGTACGATGAACCGACGAGCTCCATGGTGCACATGTACTAGGAGTTTGTTTCAGGGCTTAAGACCACGATGTTGGGTTGAGGGTTTAGGATTTGGAGGAGGCTGAGGATTTTGGGTTTTGGTGCCGGCAAACCATTTGCAGTCTTAGACAAGCCTGGAAACGACCGTAATTCAGGAACTACCCATGTTGTGATTCTGTATGGTGCAGAGTTCCAACTGCACTCGCAGGGCTTTTCGTTCCAGTCCAAGGATTTTGTGAGAAGAGCTGCCTATCTCCGTAGACCTAAACGCCGTAAATCCTGAATCCGGAAGCCTTTCTATGATACTTGCAACGTGTAATCAGGGCAACTGGCGGGTATCAGACGGCCAGATATATCCCCTTTTTGGGCAGCGTGTGCTCAAAACTCGGGATGATCAGTGCAAGACGCCCGTGGAGTCTTGGAGACAGGGTCGGGAGAGGTTTACTATATACATCTACAAGTTGCCTGCTGGCTCATTCAGGCATGCAAAAATGCCAGAAGACATCGTGCGAAGGGTATCCCCGGACCTCACTCTAACCGAGACTTGCGAGGATAGAGCTGGTTCTGCCAGCTGAGTTGCATGCAACGTCGTCCCATGGCAAGCCAGCCACCTGTCCTCCCTGCTTCTCATCTGACACAGCTTACCAGTACGCCTTGACGTCGGGCTGATTGCATGAGGCCAGCTGCCAGCCGAAATGCTTGAGTCAGGGAGGGCTTAATTCGCGCACCTGCTGGCCTACTTTCACGGGCTGGCTGCGTGATCTTCGCGTATTCCTACCTTGATGTCAGCACGCATCAGGCTTCTCACAAAAATCGCGGGTGTTGGGTTTGCGTCCGATCATGCCGCATTTTAGGGGGACATCTCCAGGTGTTTTTTTACCGGTCTTGCCTTCTGCTATCACTACTAAAACAATTACAACTACTTAAGCTACTGTAAAATTCAATACTACTACTACGACGACTAGGACTACTACGACTAGTCCGACTACTACGACCACGACTATTGCTACATCTAACTATTACTGCAATTTCTACTACTACTACTACTACTACTACTACTACTACTACTACTACTACTACTACTACTACTACTACAACTACAACAACAACTACTACTACTGCTGCTGCTGCTGCTGCTACTACTACTACTACTACTACTACTTCTACTACTAACTACTACTACTACTACTACTACTACTACTACTACTACTACTACTACTACTACTACTACTACTACTACTACTACTACTACTACTACTACTACTACTACTACTACTATACTGCGACTACTACTACTGCTACTACTACTACTGCTGCTACTACTACTACGACCACTACTACTGCTGCTACTACTACTGCTACTGCTACCGCTACTGCTACCGCTTCTGCTACTGCTGCTGCTACTGCTACTGCTACGGCTATTA